GATGCCATTGTCGGCAAACAGTTCACCGAGGCTACCAGGCTGAAGCAGGATATTGAGGAGCGTCAGCGTCAGCGCGCTACTGAGCGCAAGGAACAAGATATCGAATGGAAGCCGCGCTTTTTCACCGGCGCGGTGACTCCTCTCGGTAAGCCTGAATTGACCGAGGACGGACAGAAAGTCCTCGAGGGAATTCGGGCTGGGAATTATGCGCTGGATGAAAGTGAAGTGCAGGGCGCATAGGTATGGGCATAGGCATACACAAAGTCAAGGTCTTGCCTCCTAATTGTCTTGAATTCCTCTTTTGGGTTGAATCCATGTTGGCCGTATCTGGTATGCGACCAATTTTTCAACACGGCGTCTTATCTACGGTTTCCTTACAGGAATACCTCGGTGGCCTCCTTAGGAAGCTTTCTTCCTTCGATTTAACATATTTAGATTTCACCCTGGGGACGCTTATCATTTTTTTCCCCAGGGCATTTTTTGTGGATAGTTGCTGGCGAGATGTGGAGGGAGATCTTTGACAAAAGCAGCAAGCAACACTGCGCTGCTTTTTGCACACAATCAGAATGGATAGAGAGTTGTCTTGACACTCTTTTTTTCAAGCATTTCAAAAAACAAACTATACATGATGAGTCGGGTAAAATAATGAAGTAGTAGTATAATGTAAAAGAAAAAATGCGATTCACGAAAGAAAAACCCAGACCACCCAACCCAATGTCCTAAACACCAAACCAAACCAATGCCTCAGCACCAAAAAACCCAACAAAGGTAACTACAGTCATCAGGAGCATAAAAACATCAATACAAGGCTACCAGCTGTTCAAACACTAGGCAGCTGCGCTAACAACCTTCGTGAAACCAGCAGTGACAGTCTTCGCGATTTCCTCATTCTTATGCGGTAGCAAAGATAAGGCATACGCAACGTCGTTCCACTGGCGTTCGGTCTCGCAGCGAGGAAGTCGAGCAGCCAACTTGTCGGCCAATTGACGAGCGTGTTTTTCCTGTAAGATATAGTGTGAGCCTAAGTATACTAGAAGGGGGAAGAAAAAAAAGTAAAGTATCACTAACCTTTTCGACGAAACCAATCAGGAACTTGACGATGCGCCGCAGAGAAGCCTCTTCCAGGTTCTTTTCAGCACTCAATAGACTGAACATGTCGACGAAGTGGTTGTACACGGCATTATCCTTGGTAGCCAGCTCCGTGAAGAACATGCGAGCGAGATCAGCGGTCTTCTTATCGTCGTCTTCTAGACACTTCGCCATTTCACCAAGTTGACCCTTGACCTTGACCTGACCGGCTAAGATAAGGAATGTCAGGGTCATCAGACAGGTGCGCTTCACAGAGGCATCGTCGTCATTAAGTCGGCGATACAAGAAGTCAGTGTTTTCGTCGATCAAGTGATTGAAAGAGACAGCCATATCGCCAAGGGCGATGACAGCGTTGCTACGGACAATCGGATCCTCAGATCGTTCCATGATGGTGATCAGGAGTGGGAGGTTCTTTTCACAGTACTCGGCAGAGACACACATGAGCTTGGCCAAGCACAACGTCGCAGAGGCCTGGAGGTCGCGGTCTGGATAGGCGTTGTTATTGGCGCAGATTTCTGCCACGAGAGGTCCGAATTTGGAGAGCAGGGAGTTTTCTCCATATAGAAGCTCACGCTCACGAATATGAGCCATGGCATCAGTGAAATCATCCTCGGTGGTACCTCCAATGAGATCAAGTTCATCAGCGTCGGCGTCGTCGTCCTTCTGACCGGCTGATTCAGCGGCTTTGGTTTTCTCCTGCTCAGCCTTTCGGCGTTTGAAGTCGAGCTCACAGAGCTCAAGGTGCACAATCTGCTTAATAGCAATGTGACCAACGATATACAGGAGCTGTGAGAGGGCAGCGGATGACGGCTTTGGCTTCGATGGTGGTTGTTGCTGATCTTCTGTGGTTGCAGTGCTAGGGCGCTGTTCTTCAACACTGGCAGATGTGTGCGAAGACGAAGGCCGCTGGAGATGAGGTTGGAACACAAATCTAGTCTTCCTCCGGAGGATGTCCGAGCACAAGGTATCGGGGTGCTTAGAAAGAGTGTAAATGGCGCTGATCGCTTGCTCGGCAACACCATACCACTCCTTGCTCTCGGAAACAATCTCCAACATCGCACCCAGTTTGGTCAAGACAGAATGATCGTTGGCAAGTTTAGGAATGGCGACGACCTCCTTGGACTTGGCCTGTCGTCCCGGAACCATTCGCCGGAGGGCGATGCAAGTATATTTGGCAAGAACAAGGTCAGATCTGCCCAATCCACCCAGCCCAATGCGCAGCATCGCTTCTATTTCCTTGATGACCACCTCGGGATCAGCGAGAGCCAACATACCCAGAACAATGATAGAACCGCGACGCTGGGTTTTTGAGATTTCCTTCTTTTGGATCCCATAAACTTGCCATAACTTGGCAATCACAGCTTCTGATACATGCCCGGCCTTCATCATAGTGCTCAGCAGCTGTTCAAGACATGTGAGTTCGGCAGGGGTTGAGCCAAATGTCAAACTAATCATGTTGCGTGCAATATAGTTCGCAGCGTCGTTCTGGCTGAACGAGTCTGGGGCATCAAAAAAGAGACCCTTGTAGCAGTCAATCAGATGGGACTGAACACCCTTGCCCTCATCACTGTTGCCCTTGGTCCAGATCAGGCGTAACATGCGACGGATACCAGTGCGTGCTGTTTCGACCTTGTATGCATCAAGGACCACAAAGAAGTCCATGGCTTCAATCACCTCGCTCTTGTTGCGAGAAGACAGTAGCTGCGAGACGATCGTGGATCCGGAGTGGAGAACCTCAATGAAGCGGATAGCCTCATTATAGTATTTTCGGGTCAGCTGCAGACGCGTCAAAAGCTCAGATGTGGCAGCTTGCTCCGCTGCCTTTTGCATAGCGGTGGCCTTTTCTTCTTCGGTCATTCGAGGTGCCTTGGAAGGGGAATCATCTGGCAACTGGGTCGCTTCATCCAGCAGTTCGTCATCGACCTGGGTCATTTCCGCGTCGAATCCGGGGGTTTTCGGAGGTCGCAGAGCATTGAGTTCGCTGTCAACTCCATCCAGTCGGTCATTCCATTCTTTGTATGCGAGTTGTCCTCCATGCATGACGCTGAAGGGATGCGTGGCAACCAGTTTAGATAAAAGCTTAATTGCGTTACGACGCACATTGCTGCTCTTGTCTTCCAGACTTCTCGCCGCGAGTTCAGCGGCGGCTTGTCGTCGCTTGGGGAACTTCTGCTCCAAATCGCAAATTCGCATGAAGACCTGGATGGCACGGCAACGGCAGTAGGGGTTGATGTCCAGGAATCGTTCTTCTAGTACATCGAAAAAGGCGTTGATCTGAGTCTTATAGTTTTCGCTGCGTTCTTCCTGTCGGCTCAGGTCGGAGATTAGATTACCACAGACCTCAATCACAGCACAGCGCAGTGTGTAAGCCTATGTCAATTGTTAGCAGGTGCCGAATATCTCAGCACAAAGAGATACCTACCTCGCTGTCAAGCTGTTTGGCCAAGAGAGTCATTTGCTTGATGATCAATCTTGGGGTAAGTTCGGAGAGCTTAATGATGAAAGCAGAGACTGATTTCGGTCCACGGGTATCATTTGAATTGAACTCTTTGTTTCCGAGTTCCCTAGACCACGTTAATCAAATTGTCCAGTTTTCCAGGAATAGAAGCTACCTACTTCAGAATTTCATCCGAAAGCTGAGGGTAGTCATATTGTTCTGCCAAGATGTGGAGGAATTCGGCCATGGGCTCTGACAAGTGCTCAAAGTATGTCAAGCTTTGCACAATTGATGTTTGCGCACCTGGAAAAGTTAGTGCCGGGAAATTCACAAGACTCAGGATACATACCAAAAGCATGTCCATGATGCTTAACCGCAATGCACAGAACCTTGAAGGCATGCATGCGAATGGCCATGCTCTTCACCCGCTGCTCGCTCTCCAAAACCAGATAGATTGTTCGAGTAAACAAATTAATAAATGTGTCGCGGTCCGAAGTAGTCAAGAAAATGCGGCCCAGCTTGAGTTTCATCACCTTGCACATGGTTTCCATGGATATTTGAATTTGTGGTGTCCAGTCCCAGACTCCATCTTTGGCCGATTTCTTCGATTTAGGGCCACCACGTCGCGCAGGCGCGGCCTCGGCGGGCTTCTCGGCGGCTTTCACCTCCACAGCGGACAGCGCCCACTGGAGAAGGAATCCGTACATTTCCAGGAGTTGCTTGTGTGACTGGATCGCATCTTGTTCGTCGCATTCGAGATCGCCGACGATGATGTCGGCTTCGACCGATAAACCGGAAACAATTAGATCAAGGACCTTACTTAAGGACTTCGTAGGGAGGAAGCTTGTGTATCTGCAAGGTTTCGAACGATCAGAGCTGGTTCCAGGTGAGGGGAAAGCTCCCCGGGGTAGATGGGAGGGTTTTGGGGCGCACTTTAATAAAAACTGCAAGGAGTCAAAAAATGATGACCTGGTAAGGCCTTCAGGATTCTCTGCGACTGCGTCCACGATCGGGTTGAGGACATTATCGATCAGCGCAGTCGACAGCTGATCGGGATCTGTTTCGCAGTCGAGTAAGTCGGGGTCGGCATCGAGGGTGGGGACGGAAGTCGGATCGCTCAAGTAATACTTGAGCGAATCATTAATGTCGAATTGTATTCTGTCCTCCATGGCGACGGTGTCGAGGTGTGGGCGATTTGGGAGGGGAGGATTGAGGGGAAGAAGTCAACAAGTCAACAAAGGCGGCGAATGTTGATCGGCGGGATGTTTGGCTTTTGCCCGAACAGGCAGGCCACCGCCCGACACAAACATTGGCAGAATCGACGCGGTCGCGGAGAAAAACAATCAACTTGAATGTCCTTGCGGCGATTTTGTGTTATGCACTGGTGACCTGCATACACAACCCCGGAAATTCCTCATTGCACTTCCTCAACATCCCATCTCTCTCCCCTCGTGAAGCTACCTCCACCAATACCATGTCGGCCTTTCGTGCTGCTCCCGCGGGGGTCTTTGAGCTTCAGCGCAGCAGTTCGTTCCGAGCCCCCGCACCCTCGAAATACCAAAATGAAGAAGCCCAGGGCGAAGCTCGACGAGAAGCTCGACGGGAAGGAAGTGACTATGGAGGCGAGGAAGAAGATGAGGAGGAAGAAGTTGACGAGTCAGTACGGGAAGATATGACCAAGCTTGAGGATACCTTTCCCGGCATCTCGGAACGATTTCGATTAATTAATCGAATTGGAGAAGGTATGGTTCGAGGAAACAACAAAGTAAACTCTGTATCATATACATATATGCTAATGTTTGGTTGATTCTATCAAGGAACCTTCTCCACCGTGTACAAAGCCGAAGATGTACTATACGACCACTACCAGAACGAATGGGATGTCTTTGCGCGAGCACAACAACAAGAGGCATGGCCAGGTCCCCCTGCCAAAAGACGTCGAATGGATTCGCCATCGGCAGGAGGGCCCAAGGTCCCTCGCTATGTCGCGTTGAAGAAAATCTACGTCACAAGCAGTCCAATTCGGATTCAAAACGAACTTGAACTTCTCCACGATCTGCGAGGCTGTAAATCAGTCTGCCCTCTCATTACTGCATTCCGGTACCAAGACCAGGTCGTTGCAGTCCTTCCTTATTTCCCACACTCCGACTTCCGCATTCAATACCGAACATTCATGGTGGCAGACATGCGCCATTATCTCAGATCACTCATGACAGCTTTACAATCCGTTCACGAGCACGACATTCTACACAGAGATATTAAGCCAACGTATGTGATAGGGAGTCTGTGCAAGGCATTGTGTCGACAATATCAATACTGACTTGCGGTTTTAGGAATTTCCTTTACAATCCTGACCTGAAAGAAGGCGTACTCGTTGACTTCGGTCTTGCAGAGGTAAGCTCACAATCTTCCTTCTACTCCGGAATCATAAAAAAGAATCTCTCTAATCTTCTCTTTCGAATCACATTAGAACCAGGGAGCTGAGTATACCAGCCAGTGCCTGTGTGCCCATCAAACCTACGTTCGCCGCAGCAGAATTCTCTCCAGCTACTACTCGAAAAACCCGCCATCCTTAGGTCTGTCAAACGGATATCCAAAGAACGACTCGCGTCCGTCGAGACGAGCAAATAGAGCAGGCACCCGAGGATTCCGTGCTCCCGAAGTTCTATTCAAATGCACATCCCAAACCACAAAAATCGACATGTGGTCTGTAGGCGTTATTCTTCTCACTCTACTGGGACGCCGATTCCCGTTCTTCAATTCGGCTGATGACATCGACGCTATGATCGAGATGTCAAGTATCTTTGGAACGCGGCGCATGAAGACTGCAGCGGCGATGCATGGCCAAATATTCGAGACGAATATTCCAACCATTGGAGAAAAGGGCTACAGCTGGGAAAAGCTGGTGAAATGGTCCAGCTGCGTTGAAGATTTGACTGAAAGTGAGCAGCAAGCCACACGTCTTTTGGCCGGGTTGATGGAACTAGACCCCAGCAAACGGTTGAGTGCCGAGGAAGCACTACAACATGAATTTTTCGTCGATCCAATTCATCATGATGTTGAATGGGGCGGTAACCCCGAAAGCGGAGATTCTGGCGAAGAAGAAGATGCCGGAGATGACGAGGCTGATGAGGTCGCGATGCTATGAGATACCACCTTTTGTACGATAAATTATGCAGTTCTGACGTTACACGACATCTTTGTTCAGGCAATACTTCTGTTCAATCATAATCAATACCACTAGTTGATGATGTGTTTCTGTGTTCCACGGTTTCTATCTTCAATATAACAAGGGTCTAGATAGTCCGCCCATCTCATGTACTCCGAAAAAAAATGCATACTTCATGATTCAGTAAACTTATCTATCATCCTAACTGGATTCTCCAAAATCATAATGGCCAGTTGCCGTGGCATGCTGGACTGCCCCCTTCTCTCCTGTGAATGTTTCTCCACACGTATTGCAGCGGACCAAAAATCCCGATGTATCCGTATAGTAATGCTTGCTCTGCAAAATCTGGCACACCTCCTGTGCCTTCTCCAAAACTACCGGGTCGACAGCCTCGAAGATCTTAGTATCAATTTGTGTAAACGGATCGGCATGTGTGTATGGCGGATCTGACGGCGAGAGGGCGAGAACGTCGTAATGAACCCCAGAGTACACAACGACACACCGAGTCGGGGCCCCTTCGTTAAACTGAAACATATGAAGCGTTTGTACATCGATCGAACAAATCTCAATGTTAAAGTACTCGCTGAGAATCTTGAGTTCAATCGCACCACCCCACGAGTCTTCATTCTGAATCCATTTGCAATACTCGTCTGGATTTTTGCCCAAAACAACGGCTGTATATTCTGACGGATTGGACTGGATGGCACCGGCCACGATCGAGCGCAACTCTACCATGGTATCCATATCACCCATGACCGCCGCGCCTACAGCACGGAAAAGACAAGAATTGTCATCAGGCATTACGCGAAGCACGAATGTGCCTGCATGATCGGGCGAGGCGACTTCCGGGGGATCATCTGCGGAGTTTTCTGGCTTTTGTGATGTTGCAGTTGCAGGCGGCGGGCGCATCTGCTGGGAAGAAAAAGAGCTGGGCTCATTCTGCGGTTGCGGGGTGGCACTCGCACTCTCTCGCTGCGCAACAATAAGCTGCTCCCCGTTCAAGTTGATTCCGAGCTCTAATATGTTTTGTTCAGGCTGCAAGCTGTCGATGTCCAAAGGCTTCAGGTCTGGATATCCGTATTTGACATCAAAGGAAGTGAGACCGGTCTTCTCCGCAATCTGTCCTCGCAAGTCGTTGATAGTGGCCGTGTCATCCAAAGTGACGGTAGATTGGCCTGAAGGGCCCCGAACTCGGAAGCGCATGCTTGGATGGGGTTCGATGAAATGAAGTACGTGAAGAAGAAGAAAGTGTATAAATTCCGAGAGAGCCAAAAACCGGTAGTAGTTGGTATGGTATGCCAAGTTCTTTGAAAGAAGCTGGGTGGCTCCAGTCTGAGCAGGTCCCACTCGATCAGTCGAGGGAGCTAAGGTGTGGCGACTAAATAGGGTAGGGTCCGGTGTGGGGTAGAGGTAAAGTCAACACAATTCCTTTCATCTTGTGAACGATCTCATGGTTATTGACTGAACAGTCGTTTGCAGCTTTGAATCAAGAATTTGGAGTTTGGAGCAGGTAGCTTCGAAGGAATGCGACACGTTCTGAAGCTGCGATCGGCAAGGATATGCTATCCTCCTCCCCCCACACGGGTCTGTTTGGGAATTACCCTTATACTTCCTGCGGATGCTTGATAGACAAAAAGAAGAGCACAAATAAGAGAAAAAAGGCCAAAAATTGATCTCGATGGATTGCGGGACCATCTTTGGAGCTTCTGTCGACGTTAGCAATTTCACTGTAGTCTTCTTCGCCGACAAATTAAGACGGATTATTTACAATACAGGCGTATTCACTCCGTATCGATACCGGTGACTCAGCAAGCGCGCAAAACAACCCAGAGAAGACCTCCTGCACACGCATCAATTGCAACTCGCAAAGCTCACCCCCTCATCGCATATTATCCCATCCTGTTGAGCGCGCATGGTCGCGGGGAATATAACATGGAGTCGGACAAAGAGCGATCGCCGCATCAGCCGGAGGAGCCCGTCACCTCAATTGAGAATGACAGCTCCGTCACGGACGACCAGTGGAAGGCCATGATGGATGTCACCATGGCTATTTACGATTTTAGGGAGCCAGAGTAAGTATAACCATCTTCCAATACGGGATTAAAGCTCAAGAGCTAACTATTCTTGAATGTAGTGGCCACGATCCATCGCGATTGTTCCATCGCAGCGTCAACAAACGTATCGTCCCGGATTACTATGACATTATCAAGGAGCCCGTGGCGCTCAGTATTCTAAAACAAAGGATCAATAAGCGCGAATACAAGTCCTTTTCGGCTTTTGTTCGCGACTGTGCCTTGGTACGCATTAGACTGGCGGTGGTTCTTGGAAACCAAAGCTAACGAGTGCCCCCAACTTTCCAGATCCCCCACAACGCGCAGACCTATAATCGACCCAAGTCTCAAGCTTACGAAGATGCGCTCGTCATCAAGGTATGTAGAGGGAGAGGCCCAATACCTGCCAATAGATAAACACGTACTCCCAGATGCGACTGACACCATCTACGCCCAACAGGATGTCTTTCTTACAGAACTCAAGAAAGTTGCTGCAACAGGCGTGATCGCCGACGAGGAGGCCGTACTCCCCGACCTGGGAGAAATTCCCGAAGCGGATCCCTTGCCAGACGATGATGAAGACGACGAGGAGGAAGAGGAAGGTGGAGAGGGCGAGGAAGATGACGAGGACGATTCTGATGATGAAGGTCGGCGCAGAAAGAAGCCTGGTCCGAAACCAGGTGCTAAGCGCGGACTGAAGGATTCCCAGAAGAATGAGACTGATCCTCGAAAGAAGCGCGGTCGACCTCCGCGCGTCGACACCCCTATGGAAACTCGCATCAAAACCATCCTCAAAGGGATTCGAAAGTTCAAGAGTGCAGGAGGTCATCTGAAAATCGGTCACTTTGAAAGACTGCCCGATAAAGCTGCTTATCCGGACTACTACGTGGAAACCAAGGAGCCGATCGCGATTGATATAATAAAGCGCAAGTCGAAGCGCAAGAAGTATAACTCGGTCGACCACTTCATGCGGGACTTGGATCTCATGTTCAACAATGCGAAGGAGTACAATCAGTCCGATAGCCAGATATACCAAGATGCCGTGGACCTGCAGAACGAATCGCGGAAATTGGCCGAACAAGAAAAGAAGAAGCCCGATAGCGAATATCTCATGGAAGACGGGCGATTCCCATTGCCTGATGGGATCTTGCATCGGGGCGAGTTGTGGAAGGTTGGCGATTGGGTCCATATCCAAAACACAAATGATGTGTCCAAGCCCATTGTCGCGCAGATCTACCGGACTTGGCAGGACGGGGAGGGCGAGAAGTGGATCAACGCTTGCTGGTATTACCGCCCCGAACAGACAGTGCATCACTTTGAGAAACACTTCTATCCTAATGAGGTGGTGAAGACGGGGCAGTACCGTGACCACAGAGTTGATGAGATCGTCGACCGTTGCTTTGTGATGTTCTTCACGCGGTATAGCCGTGGACGTCCTCGAGATCTCGCCCCCGACAAGGAGATCTATGTCTGCGAGGCACGCTACAATGAAGAAAAGCACAAGCTGAATAAGATCAAAACATGGGCCAGCTGCTTGCCTGACGAGGTCCGCGAGAAGGACTACGAGATGGACCTTTTCGATGTCCCACGGAAAATCAGAAAGGTGCCAACGCCGATTAAGCATCTTCTAAAGGAGGACGCGAAGGAGACGGATGATCTCCCACGCCCAACCTGGGGGGCTGACAATGCTCCGCCCGTCGTGGGTGCTGTTCACCGTCGGCCTCGGGATGAGAATGTAAGTTTCCTCAGCATCTCAGAGACATTTCCTCGTGCCTAACTAACCCTGTCAACCTAGGAATCACCACCACCAGAGCCCACACCCTCACCACCACCTTCGCTTCCCCCAGCCCCCATGGCTTCTGCTACACCTCGACAATCCATGGGCCAACCTCTTCCAGGAGCTGGCATGGGTAGTATCACGACACCTCAACTCCAGGCAGCTTCTCCTTCAGCACCAGTCATGGCTCCAACATCCGCAATTCCCGTGCCCCCAGTTGCGTACCAAAGTCCAATGAACCCACAAATGTACCAGGGACCCAACCCACGTCGGCCCAGCAACTTCATCCCACAAACACCAACTGCAGGATACGCCCACGCACACGCTCAAGCCCATGCCCACGCTCAACCTTCACCAGCAGTGCACCCCTACCCAGTCGCACAACCCGCTCCTTATAGCCCATACCCCCCTCGTCACGGTTCCATCGGGGCATCAGCATACAACCCCAACGCCCCCCGTCCAATCGAAGTATACCACCTCAACGACGCCGCCAACGCCGCCATCCCCGCCGACATCCGCTCTCAATTCCACTGCAACGACCTCGGCCAAGTCCTCTTCTTCTCCACCCCTCCTCTAGACATGATCAAGCCCATAGCACTACCCAAGCTCGGCCACTCACTCAAATACCTCGCCTCAAAAGAGGAGCGTCAAAAGAAAGTCGCCGAGCACAAACGCAAGCGTGCCGCAGATAGCAAGGATCGTGACGAGGAAGCGAAACGTCTACGTGCCGATGAAGAAACAGCACTGGCAGCTCGTATCGAGGCTTTAGCCCCGAAAGCAATTAATGCAATGGTGAAGGAGGTTGCGTCTGGAACGGACCAGCTTTATAAATTTCTTTATGAAGAGAAGGCGGATAGTGCGAGGGCTGCGGATATTGAAACTCGTGATAATAGGATGAATGTTGATCGGGAGAATCATCACCATACGGCTGAGATTCAGGCGAGGTCGGCTAATCCGGGTTTTGTGAATCTTAAAGGTGATGCTATGTACCTGGGAGAAGACCAAAGTCAAGGCCAAGGCCAAGGCCGCGGGGAGCAAGCTTGATGGTTGATGCGTTGGAATTGTTCATTTTCTTTTCACTTGTTTCCTTTTGTGTTGATTTGATTCTGTGACAATCATGCACACAACGCAATGTTTCTTTTTTCCAGGTCGAGGCGTCGTGTTTTTTTTTAATTGATCTAGTTGATAACCAAGGGTTGAGGGGCGTTGGTTCAGGAGAAAGAACAGAACATGTATGATTAGGGCTATCTAATAATAGACACCCTTTGCTTTCCTTTTTACTCTTTCCATTCAAGTTATTTTTACCTCTTCTCGCAATCAGACCTCATGGCATAGATTGACTACTTGAGCCAACTACAAAGATAGAAAGACTAGTAGAATTCCGTGAAGCTGCTTATTTGCATATCTCCCATTTATACATGCGATCAAGATACGGAGACGACTCAAAAAAGAAGAGAAAAATTTAACAAAAGCACTGGCAAACAAACTTGAACCGAGTAGAGTAGAGCAAATTGAACACCAGAAAGAATCCCAAGGGTCATTGCACTCATAATGGTCGATCATGGCAAAAATATCACTTGGAAATGGAATGGGATGGGATGGGAACAAAAGATACGGAGTACATAGAAATTGGAAATTTCCTCCGATCACATAAGATCACATAACAGAGTCGAGTAAAGTAGAGTAAAGTAGAGGGAAAGAAATTAATACACAAGGCCAAGCCCAATCGATAGCGGGGCGGAAAGGGGGGAATGAAGAAAGAAAGAGAGGGCGGTGGGTCAAAAAAAACCGATGAGCAGAATCTAGATGAACCGCAGCGAAAAGAAGGAGAAGATTGTGAAAAGACGAAAGATGGTACACAGAATCCGAAGAAAAGCGCACTGTAGTCAGTCTATGATGTTGTGAAGTTGCTGTGAGTTCTTTATATGCCGATTGACACTGTAATCCTGTCTGTCCTCAAGAAGAGAATAACAAGGAAGGGGGGGGTGGGATTCCGCCAGGAAAATGCCGGGTTGAGCCTTTTTTGTTGAATTCCAAGCAAAAAAGAAAATTCTTTTTTTTTGTTGTTCCGAAGCTCCGATGCTGCTGTGCCTAAAACTCCAATGACCTTTTTTTGGTATGAACATGTCCCAGAAAGTTGGACGCCGCTTGGTCCGTGTCGTCATGATTGTAATGAAGAAAGCAAGAAAGTAAGGAAGGAGAGAGAGAAGGCAAATTAAGCATCAGAGGAGCTGTTGCGCTTGTTGCCTTCTTCTTCTTCCATGGAGAAGAGGAAGTCGCTCTGTTCCTCCTCTTCACTGATCTTGTTGGTTGTCGAGGAAAGAGTCCGATCAAGGCGACCTGGGGCTGCTGAAGAGTGCCGAGCAGAGCCTGGGTGGAGAGACATTCCGCCGAGCTGCTCAGAAATCATAGACATAGATGATTGTCGACCGGGGCTAGAAACAAAAGGCGAACCATCATGCGATGCACGGCTGCCGATGGGACCCAGACTAGGGCTCGTCGGGTTCAACGAGGATTCACGGAGAGGAGAGCCAATGTGAGGGAAGGAAGATCCGACAGAACCATCTTCCTTGCTCTGTCGCTGCTTGGCAAACAGAGCACCGAATCGGGATGGGCTGGATGCGAGAGGCGAGCCGGTTTTGGAGAAGCTGGAACTTGTCATGCCGAAACCACTGATATCGCGGTGGCTGGAGCTAATGTCATTGTCGGTCCGGGAAAGTCGACGCAACTTTTCTTGCGGTGTCAGGACATCATCGCGCAAGGCTGGAGGCAAATAATCCTCCTCCATGGGGAAGTTCTCATCCCAATCGTCAAGAGCAGCAGGTCGAGGAACGCTAGACGAAACCATGCGTGGCCGAACGGGGCGCGCGGAGTGTAAGGCCCGGTGACCAAGTGAGTCTTCCGGTGCTGGAGGGGACGATCCAATATTATAAGAGGGTCTTCTTAAGCTGGAGCCATAGCCAACATCACGGATGTTTCGGAATGGGTCCGTAGGGCCCGCTCTCTGTGCCGACGAGGATTCAAGTCCAAACTTCGAAGGCATTGAGGCAGCCACAGGACCATATCGAGCAGCATGAGAGATGCCTTGGCTGTCAAATGAGGCCGGGAGGGGAGCATCGAGGGCTGTGAGATGGCGAGCACTGGGCGACATGGGAAATCGTGACTCGTCGATTGGAGATCCGTAGTTAGAGCCGGCATCGGAGGCCAGCCCCGCGTCAATGGTGGGGATAGAGTCAAAGTTAGGCGCTGGCTGGCCGGTGAGCTCTTCCTGCGTGGGAAGTTGTGCGGTGTATCGGGGCTCTTGGCCGTTCATGCGCTGCTGCGAGAGGACCGAGTTCGTCAAGGCGGAATCCTGATTGACATATGCCTGCGGGTTGACTCGGCCACCCAGATTCAGATGACTACTACCACCACCCATTCCCATACCGCCGCCGCCGCCACCACCGCCGCCAGCATTGGGTCGGTTTACCCGTCGTCCGTCCGGGAGGATGTGAGCGAGAGCGCATTTGGCGCCGAACTTGCAGTTGCCCTAGTGCGGGGGAAACGAACCCGGTCAGTGCTCGGACGATTTGAGAGGTAAATTGGGATATATCAAGTCCTCCAAGATATCACAGAGGCCCTCGAAGGATCGACTACCCACCTTGGAAAAGTATTTGCAGGGAGCATAATCAATGGCAGTATCGGTCGAGTGCAAAAACGGACAAGCGGGGCCGGCCTGACAGGCACCCTGGCGGAAGAATTTGCAGGGAACGTGCTTGGTATCTGCGGAGGAGAACGGAGTAGACGGGTTAGCCGGGTTGGAAGAGCAAGCAATAGGGAGTAGACTCGAGGTCGTGTGTCGTGAGGGGAACACCTACTCTTGTTGCTCGGGTTGGGCGGACTGCGAGCCATGTCAAGACTCGATGGCGTGCGTGAGTGGCCATTCTGGAGCCCAGAGGGCACCGGAAGGGGCGCGCGACCTCTCATTTCGGAACGATTGGAGTGAGAAGGAGGAGGGCGAGAGGCCGTAAGCATCGCCGAGTCGATGGGAAAGGTGGAGGGTGGAGGGGTTGGAGGGGATTTGAGGGGAAGAATCCAGCGGGGGCGGTGTCTGCGCGAGGTGTGAGATCAGCGGTGGAGTGGGTGAGGTGACTACAGTAGATATGAGTAGATACCAGTAGGTACTCGTAGGTATTCGGCACCTGGGGAGAGTAGAATAGATGGTATACCGTATGGGAATAGAGAGTGTAGAAAGAAGAGATCAAGGCAGATGACCGATCTTCTCCAAGGGTTCTCGTTCTGGCCTTCCGAGCAAGCCATCTGCACTGTTCATCTGATGATGTGCGGTCTCGGTTCGCCCCGGTTGCCTCCATGCCAGCGGCCAAGGCACATAACTACATTGCCTAGTGGGTTAGATCTACAGAGTAGAGTGCCGAGTGCAATGTGGCATTATTTTACTATTTTACTATTTTACTATTTAACTCTGTAATGTCTGGTTCAATTGGTGAACAGCTACACTGGGGGTTCGATCTCACAAGAACTACGAGTAGTCAATCGTCCCATACCCAACCCTAGCACTATAATAAGGCTAACGCTAGGCTATCATTTGGGTTGAAACCATCACCCTTTCCACTACCATTTCAGGCATGGTAATGGAAATAAAGTTGAAGATACTAGCAAATACTAGAACCAACCGATCTAACATAGGCAGGGAAAGGGCCCCGGAAAGCACCGTGATATATCTTGGATAACTCCCGCCGTACCCATGTCTCCAGCAAAGTCTACCAAATACTTAGTCTGAACATACCAAGACCACGATGGAAAGAGAAAAGGAGAAAAAAACGGCAGGCTTATATTAATATTCAAACCATCACATCATGCAGATAATACATATTTTACGTAACCTTCTCCCTAAACTTCCGATCCTCGCTGGGTCCCAGTCCCAGTCCCATCAAATCCCGATACTAGTACCCTAGGGTACCGTAGGTAGGTTTCCCGCACTCGCGCGCAATGGGACCGTGTGCAATAAGAGATAGTTAAGTCGCAACGCAAAAGGGCTCCGAGCGGAGCCCAGGCCGAGCCGCAAATCACGCTGGTTGAAATGAGTGGAGCCGAGAATAGCCCGCAACTGTTGTAGCTTCCATACCCGACCATCTCTCATTGGAGCGCGCCTTCAAGCCCCAAAGACTCCTGCAGCCACGTTAGCATTTGCAAACCACTGATGATAACGGTGATAGGGTAATTGTATCCCCAATGGGGTTGACCATACCCATAGCTCTAACACACTCGTATTCTCGGGCAATACCTCACTGCATCGATCCCACATTTCCCTACAAATACGACGGCGTATAGTAGCCTGTCGATACCAGATCTTCCACTCCTGCTCAAGTTGGGACCTTTCCTCCGGGGTTATCTGGATGGCGATGGCGATGGCCGTGGCCGAGGCCTCGGGTCCTCCATTCAATTTCGCTAGATGCGCTTGCATGTCGTCTCGTTCGCACCCTAGCCGCTGTATATCCTGCTGTAGCTCCGCAATTCGAGGTTTGGCCTTCAGGGCCGAGAGAGAAGCACGTGCTTTCTTTTCCTCTGCTTTTATCGAAGATAGCTGGGTCTGAAGTTCGTTGATCTCGGATTTGATTAAGGCGATACTTTCGGGGGTGATGGAATCGGATGGTTTCTGTGGTGTATGGTAGACGATTTGTTTCCCTGCTGTTCGAGATGTGATTTCGCCCTTTTGTTCTAGCTTTTGTAGAATTTTGACGGCTTGGCCTATGTGAGGTTTTTGTTAGTGCCGTGCCAGTTATGCTTTGTATTATTGAACTGCGCAGTCGAGCTCACCTTTTGATACTTTGCCGTGTAAATTTGCGGAGATATCAGTTGCCTAGATTATGATAATGGTGAGGACAATATGTTTGCTGATCCCATTGTTTGCCCTCCCGCAAGTGTTCATTTCATTCGATGTAGGGGACGTACCGAGTAAGGACGACTAAATCAAATCGATCCACGCGTCAGTCAGCATGGTCACTTCTCCGGACAATCAGAACGTACTTTTGTTCGACTTAATATCATCAGAGTCAGTCAAATGAGCCAAACCTTTCATTGAATGCATATGTAGCGAGTAGACTCGACTCACGTAGATAGGTAAGAATCATTGTAGTATCTTCCCAACGTTAGCATTTTTAGAAAAGACAGCTGGATACAGATATCCAAGGGACTGACCGTCTACGCCTCCCACAGGCGCGGTCGCATCAGCTTTGGCCTTACGAGGAGCCATGGCGCTCGGGCTGTCAGAAAGTTTGAGGACAAGACAAGGCTGGGAGCGAGTGTGGTCAAAACCCAACCGCAGATAAGGTAGGGACCAATCCATAGGAAGTCAGCCTTACCATACAACCACAACCCGAGCCGGGCTCACGTAAGGCTACACTATACATAAAGGCTCCAACACATACAACTACAAACATCTTGACACAATGCAACTTGAATAGAGTTTGGTAATTCATAACGATTTACGCCTCGCGTCTAGAAAATCAATACAGCCGATCAACCATATGTCCAAAGGCCCCCAGGCAGCCTCGAAATCCTGAGCGTAAATGCAAAATATGTGGGAAAACAGCAGCGAAGACGAAGACGACGACGACAGACAGATACGCCTCCCGGACGGCGATTGACCTTTTTTTTCTCTTCTCGAAAACCCCGGGATTAAGACATATATAAAAAAAGATAATGATAATGCAAGATGTAAAACGCCCACAAATCCTATCCAGAACCTCTCACCCGGGGTATCACATCACAATCTAGAGAAAGAGGGTCAGTATTACAAAGTTTTTTTTGTAGTTCGAAGTAACTTACGCAATCACTGTCCTTGTTAGCACTAGGGACTCCCATTTCCTCGAAGGTCTTGGGGCCTTTACTGGGGGGCTGACCAGCTGGCTTTGGTGGCTGAGCGGCGGCAGGTCGTTGGGTCGGCGGTGCTGACTGCGGCTGAGGTGTAGAAGATGCTGATCCTCTAGATGGCAGGCGTGACTCCTGGCGTGGGGGGAATGTGCCGGAAGAAGGAGAGCCAGTCGAACGAGGAGACGCGGGTGCTCGTGGAGATGGTATAGGACCACCGTGAGCAGAGACAGGAGTTCGCACTGGTATGCGATCTGGCGGAACTCCTTCGAGTCGAGTAGGGCGTCGTCGGTCAGCACCCGGCGGCGGAACCGGCGCAGAGTACCCAATGTCCACCCGGGGTGTTCCAGTAGGGCTGATCATACTGCCTTGGGGACTCAATGGTCCTGCAGGCGCGCTTAGTGGAGTACCAGGGCCGGGACGGCGATAATCCATCGGCGGACCCTGTCCATAGGATGGAGTCCGGGAGCCAGGGCCAGGCGGGCCACCGTACCCTGGACCTGGAGGACCATTGCGCAAGTTTGGGTTGACGCCAAATGCCGAACTGGGTCGGGGATCGGGCATTTGGTAATTGGGCTGACCTGGCGGACGAGGGCGCGACATTGGGCGATCCGGATATGGGGCAGCAGAGGAGGGAGGGTCAGACAAGGTCATGCGGGAGGGATCTGGCATCTCGATGTTTTCGGGTGTGGCTTCCAAAGATCCTCCGCGTTGGTGAGCAACATAACGTGTTGACTTGATTCGAGAAATCGCAACCTTCTCGTGGTCCTTTCGGGAGAGGGTCTTGGAGCGAGAAATGCTGTCAATTCGACCAGAGGCATCTTTATTTCCGCTGGCGGCAGCCTTGGCATACCAGCTTCGAGCCTCTTTAATATCACTCGGCACGAAGATACCGACTTCGTAAAAGTATCCCAGGGCAAATTCGGCTGTAGGGAGACCGCTCTGAGCCGCACGCTGGGCGTATGTAAAGGCCAATTCATCGTTCTTCTCGAAGACACCTTCGTGTCCGCACAGGAACCATTTGCTAATGGCCATCTCTGCCTCAGGCTCACCTTGGCGTGCTGCAAGGGCATTGTAATGCAATGATAATGCGGGGTTGAAATCACAACCAAGCTGGCATAGCTCATATGCGGCACCCATCTTCACTTGTGCCTTTGCGAATCCATTGAAGGCAGCCTTTTCGATATTGACGCGCGCGGTGTTGAGGTCGGCCGGCAAGAAGGCCTCTGGGACACTGACTTGGGGAAGCTCACGAGCACAGAGCATGCCATATACGTAGGCACCCTGCGGCGCATTTTGATCACAAGATTGTGCAGCTAAACGAATGCACTCAAGTCCTCGCTGGAAATCCTGGCGCTGACCATGCTGACCAAGAAGGATCATCATTCCGAGGCGCTGAATATCTAGTTAGTCTCTCTGTATTTCATTGCAACGGGGGCACAATGGAAAACATACGTAGTATGAAGCAGAATCGGACATTGCAACACCCCGCTCGTAGTGTCTAATTGCCTTCTCCGGCTCTCCTGAACTTTCGAATTGCATTCCAATGCGGTACTCTGCGCGAGCATAGCCCTTCTCTGCGGCTCTAGAATAGCATCGGAAAGCTTCCTTCCGATCAACCCGGAAACCGAACTTGCCAAATTCCAACCACATTCCCTTGATAAACTCGGCGTGAGGGTGGTGCTGCTCGGCCAAGAAGCTGACAATGTTCATAGCATCAGTCTTGAGCTGTCGTTCCACCTGAGGTGTGTGGGGACGCGGTGGCTGCGTGAGGGACAAGCGGTCCTCGTTTTGTGCGGCCACTTCAACAAAGGCCAAGGTATCTTGGGCCCAAGTAAGCTGGACTTCGGGGTCGGTGGTCGACAAAATAGCTGCGCGGTGGCGCTCCAGGTTGGCTTCCCGCTGCTCATCGGTCGGAGGGACATTGGGAGGTGGATTCCGCAGGACGGGGAAGGGAGAAAAGTTGGGATGGTCCATAGTATCGTAAGTGGCCGATTGCGCGTAGGCGCCGTGGTCGTAGGCCTGAGCCTGTTGCGCTTGGCCCCGGACGGAGGCGGCGGAGGAAGTTCGCTCGGGGAATTGTGAGCGAAACTGCGCAGGCGAGGGCGCAGGAGGTTGTTGTGGGCGGCGGGGGTCGCGAGCATGATGTTCCAGTTGCGCGATATTATCCTGCATGTTTTCGGGAACTTCAGGCATCACCCTGGTCGGACGGATCAGTACTCTCACCCGCGGCATTCTGAGGGACTCTGGTGAACGTAGAGAAAGGAAACATGTCTCTTACCGCTGAGGGGAGGGGGAGATGACCTCTGGCATGTAAAAGTCATCCTGACCCCCTGGATACCAAGTCGCACCGGCACCCGCTCGAGGCGGGGGACCACGACCCTGCGGCGGTCTGTTCATGGTACTAGTAGGAACTTGGAATGAATGCTGAAATTCAAATGGTAAAAGCGCCGGGGCCTGGGAAAGGCTCTTGGTGGAAGAGCATCCGCCGGAGCAGGGGACGAGGGGTACAGAGTAGAAATTAAAGAGAGTGTCCAGGTGTGTATGGGGGGGGTGGAGGGGGTGGTGGAGGGGGAGATGATTGAAAGGAGGGGAGAAGAAGCAAAAGGAAATAATAGTTCGTCCGCCAAGAGGGACACAATCCACTTTGGCTAGTTATACTCCGTACTCTAGGGGGACCCCACGTTGGAAATACTATGGACTAGTACCCAGCAGTGCCTAAATTGAGATTATGATCACCCTGCTGATTATTGATGACACAGCTGTGCCCTTTTGCAAGTTTAAATTGGGACGCGCTTACAGCTGAGACGGTGTGGGAATACGGTATTTATATACAAATAATGATAAGACCGACGCGCTCAGGCTGTCCAGATGCCGCAGCTTTGAACTTTCATATTATATGGAATATTCCATGTACTTACACGGAATACTCCATACCTATCTACAAAGAACTTGCCTCTTGAAATTCCCACACTCAGCCCCGGTCCTTCCGATCCCCTGAGGTTGCACCGCACTGGAGCATGTTTCTCCTGGAGCCTTACCGGCTCCACTCAACACCGTTTTATTTTTATCTCCCTCGATTTTCCAGAAACACTGCGCGCTGATCCCCCGTGGAAACAGCCCTGCGCCTGCGCCTGCGCCATGGACCTGAACCTGGACATGGACAAGGAGCTGCAGGATTTCCATCATCCGTTTACTCCGTACAAGATCCAACTGCAATTTATGCAGGCCTTGTACGGATGCCTGGAAGATGGTAAAGTCGCCGTATTCGAGTCCCCCACTGGTAAGTGCGCGACGCTAATTCCATCCACCTCCCCCCTGGTTGTTTGCTTCGGGTCTGACAGCGGGTGCAGGTACCGTAAGTGGCCCCCACCAGGCGAACCGCCATCGTCATCCGAGCCATTCCAATTAGTCCGTGCTGCTGCTGCTGCTACGGCCGTTGAATATCGGGACCATGGAATGTTTGAACTAAAGATGGCCCGGAACTCCAGGGTAAATCGTTGAGTCTGATCTGTGGCTCCTTGACATGGCTCCGAGACCACAAGCGCCAGGCCTTTCAAGAAACATTGGACCAGGCTGCATGTATGTACTCCAAGCTCCAGTCTCCAAGCTCCAAGCTCCGATCCGAGATTAAGTCCTACCCCCTATTGCGTCATGTCTCACATTGGGTTTAGGTGACGATGATGAGCCGGAGTGGATGATCGAATTTGCCAAGCGTGATTCTCGTCGAACCATTGCAGAGAAGCGACAGCAGTTTGAATCACGACTGGCAAAGATCAAACAGGACGAGGAGCGCCTGAAGCAGGCCCAGGATAGCCAAGAGCGGCCCCGTAAGAAACAGGTACGAGCCACTTTGTTATTGTTATTGTTTACCCCAGAATGCAATGTAAATGGAAGCCCGGACCAACAATCCATTAGCGAATTGAAGAGCCGGCAGCAAAGTCAAAGTCAGCTCCCAACGATGATGAGCAATTCGTTCTGGACGACTATGACAGTGAAACCGATGAGAGGCAAAAGGCAAGCCAGTCTGCCGGAGTTGATGGTCTCTCCGCCAGCACTCTCGCTCTATTAGAGAAGTACAAGGGACAGTTTACATCGAAAAAGCCCGAACAAGATGAGGAGGATGACTCGGTCAAGATCTTCTACTGCTCGAGAACCCACTCTCAGCTCAGCCAATTCGCGGGAGAGCTACGTCGTGTCGCTTTCCCGTCCAGCATCCCCGGCGATCCCGAAGCCGAGGGCAAAGACGATCTCTCAAAGTTGGAGGAACGCGTCAAACATCTATCCCTAGGATCCCGAAAGAATCTTTGCATCAACCCTAAGGTTCAAGCGTTGGGGAATAGCACGGCAATTAATGAGCGATGCCTCGATCTCCAACAGCCAGGTGTTGCTGCCGAAAAGAAGTGCTCTTTTCTCCCTTCAAAAGACGATGAAGCACTCATGCTTGAATTTCGTGATCATGCCTTGGCAACAGTCAAGGACATCGAAGACATTGGCAAAGTAGGACAGCAAGTCGGGATCTGTCCCTATTACGCATCACGCTCGGTCATCAAGCATAGCGAGGTCAGTACCTTACACCTTCCCATCTCATGAACCAATTATTCAAAACTAGCTCACATATCCCGATATAGATCGTGACACTACCATATCCTTTACTTCTCCAACGATCAGCTCGCGAGGCTCTCAATTTATCCGTCAAGGGCCATGTAGTGATCATCGACGAAGCGCATAACCTAATGGACGCAATTGCCGGTATCCACTCCGTGTCCGTCTCACTTTCGCAACTAGAAACCGCCATGTCACAATTAACGACATACGCGCGCAAATTCAAAACTCGACTCAAGGGTAAAAACCGCAGTTATCTTGCCCAGGTTATTCGACTTGTCGGCTCTATTGCTGGCCATCTTCGCGGTATCGCTCAGCAAAAGGGAGGAGCGCCAGAAGGCTCGGTGCAATTTTCTGATCTTATGGCTGGTAAGGGTGTTGATCAGATAAATCCCTACAAGCTCTCCCGGTATCTTCAGGAAAGTAAGTTGGCGAGGAAGGTTGATGGGTATGTCGAGTCTGAGTCTTCCCAAGAGGCTCAAGGGCAAGGTCAAGGCCAAGTTAGTCGGACAAGAGATCGGACAACGGTTCCCGTTCTTTTTCATATACAAAGTTTTCTTTTGCCTTTGATGAACCCTTCAGAAGAAGGCAGGCTGTTTTACCAAAAGGGTCAGGATGGCGTACTGTTGAAATACATGCTTCTTGACCCGACCAATCATTTCCGTGAAATTGTTGAGGATGCTCGGGCTGTCATTTTGGCCGGTGGCACGATGTCTCCTGTTAGTTTGGCCGGCTACTTCGCGGTGAATTATGTGATATACTAACCCATTTCCCCAGATGACGGACTACATGAATCATTTGTTTTCATATGTATTACCCGAGCGATTGGATACTTTTAGTTATGGCCATGTTATTCCATCGACCAATTTGGTTGCACAGTCATTAACGAAAGGGCTGCTGGGCTCGGAATTCAACTTTACTTACGAGGCTCGAGGGTCGGAGAAAATGGTAAGCGACCTGAGATTCTAGCCGGCAACGCTTCTATCAGTTCCCCTTTTGACGATAATTAAATAGATTACCGATCTCGGACGAACAATAGCCACTTTGTGTCAAGTCATCCCAGATGGCGTTGTCGCCTTTTTCCCCAGCTACGATTACCTGAGCCAAGTGGTGAATGTTTGGAAGAAACCCATTCCGAACGGAAATGGCCAAACCACATTCGGTCTGATTGAAAAGAAGAAGAAGATCATGTACGAGTCTCGCGAAGCAGTTACTACTACCGATACGTTGCTTCAAGAGTATACCGAAGCCATAGAATCTGGATCGGGAGCATTGCTCTTATCTGTGGTCGGAGGAAAATTGTCAGAAGGAATCAACTTCTCGGATAAATTGGGAAGAGGTGTCTTTATCATTGGACTACCTTTTCCCAATATCCGCAGCGCTGTCTGGCAGGCTAAAATCAAGTATATCGAAGAGAAGACCTACAAGCAGCATTCGGGATCAGAGTTGGAGAAAAAGGCCCGGGCTAGTGCGGCGGGAAAGGATTTCTACGAAAACGCTTGTATGCGCGCTGTCAATCAATGTATCGGGCGAGCTATTCGGCATGTCAATGACTATGCGGCGATCGTGATGATTGATCGGCGCTATGAAACGCCGCGCATTCAAGGTAAGCTGCCTGGATGGATTCGAGGCAGTCTTGTTTCGGCGGCGACAGCGACAGCTCGACCAGCCCAGATGACCGTCCAGCGACTTTCCAAGTTCTTTGCGGAGAAATCATAGCTCTGTTTAGAAAGTGGAATATCACACCCTACCATATTTAAACAAAATTCAAATTTCGGATGTCACCACACAGTCACTTTTCGCAGTCAAGAAATCTAGTACGCACATGATACAAGTCAACATCAACAATGATGTATACAAAGCCCTAACGGGATGTGACGTAACGTAACGCAATTCTGCCAACATAAAGGTTCACCGCTTTAGAGCGGTACGACACCTCCACCGCCTCACGTGATTAACTGCAGCCCCAGTAAGGGTTTGACCCTATCACGGGATTAGCGAAGGGCCTAGCGCACACTGGTTCACCATCAGAGTCCGAAGATCCACGACCCCTTCAACGCCCATCTTCAAACCGGTCTTGTCGAGCACACCTCCAACGACAAGATGCCTACCCGTTTTTCGAACACGCGGAAGCAGTGAGTCGCCTCCCTCCTCGCCATTCCCCGAAAACACAGTGTGCGACAATTTGCGATGAATTTCGACATCGCCGGCGCACCGCACCTATTCCCGCCTTGCAACGCCCAGGATAGATACAGGATACAGGATATACTGACATTCTTTTCTCTCATAGCCGCGGCCACGTGTCCGCCGGTTACGGTCGTGTCGGCAAGCACCGCAAGAGCCCTGGTGGTCGTGGTATGGCCGGTGGTCAACACCACCACCGTACCAACATCGACAAGTACCACCCTGGTTACTTCGGTAAGGTCGGTATGCGCTACTTCCACAAGACCAAGCAGCAGTTCTGGAAGCCCACCATCAACCTGGACAAGGTACGTTACCTCGAAAATTTCAATCGAATCGATCTCCGCCCGGAACGAGAAGCAAGCGAAGCTGGATGTGTGATTGTGTCTGTGTGAGGATTGGGAAAAGAATGGCTACGGAAACGGGAAGCAACACAACATGAGAACACATCATGCTGCAGCAAGCCAATCGAAGGGCCGAATTGGGATATTCAAAAATTTATGGTTGGCTGACTGGAATTTTTTTTCTCGAATATAGCTCTGGTCTCTCGTCCCCGCCGAGAAGCGTGATGCCTACCTGAACGGCTCCAAGACCGACACCGCCCCCGTCATCGACCTCCTGCCCCTCGGTTACTCCAAGGTCCTCGGCAAGGGCCGTCTCCCCAGATCCCCGTCGTCGTCCGCGCCCGCTACTTCAGCCGTGACGCCGAGCAGAAGATCAAGGAGGCTGGTGGTGTTGTTGAGCTGGTCGCATAAGCGTTGATTCGATGTTTTCTTTGTTGGAGAAAGCGGCGTGAATCGGGGCAACGGTCTTGTGGAGGATCAAAATCTCTCCTATCCTATTAGTGAGGAGCCAGGACGATCGGAATCTCGGAAAAAAGAGCGCCATGAGTTGAGATGGTGGGCTCTGGCGTTTCGAAAAAGAAAAAGGGTTTTTGTGTATGCAATAAGAAGCATAGCATGGCCTCCGAATGCCCTTACGATTTCACAATTGTGTTAAACAAATACCATAAGGAGGAATTTTTCAAATGTCTTGTGCCGTTTGATTTAAGCTTCGACAAGTTCACTTTTAGGCTCACACTGAGATGAGATTTTGACCTTGACTTTACATGGGTTGAATTAATCGCAGATAATCTGATGCGGAATAGCTGGACGATTAGCTGCAATGCTAGCCCCTGCAGTCCTTAAAGTTGTTCCGATTCACATTCAGCTATGTGGTGTCTACGTAGGCAGTTGTAGTTTGGGAAGACTTGAACTTCTAGAAGCAACCAATGGTGTCTATCCCTGGAGGTAGCTATGCAATTGATTCGCACCTGGGCATATACTGTATTCTAACGAGATATATGTATATATGTAGTCTACATCATCCATCACTATCTAGATCTTCGATTCTCGCATAGAACCCCTCCGCTCTTTACTCTCATCGCTCGATGCGAGCGTCTCACCAATGAAACGAATAGCCTCATCAACCATGTTAGCAGTGACCTCATGACCAGCAGACTGATCAATAATATCCTCGAAAGTCACACCGCCGTCTCCAAACCACCCATTGGCCGCAATAGCCTTTTTAAACCATTCCAAGAAGACTTCTCCGCGGTGATACGGCACAAGCTTATCGACACCGCCCGATATATTCAGAATGCGCTTACCCGCGAGGCACCGTGTCAACAGCGGTCGAAGTGACTGCTGTTCCTTGTCCGTCGGCTCAGGCAACGGCCCTTCACGCGGAAGGCCACAAGAACCGGGGTCCATGGGCCCAAGCATCAAGCTGGCAGGATCGTATTTCTTGACGATATCGACGAAGGAAGTTGGCAATGCTTCTGAGCCTAGGATCTCTGATCCGGGCGGAGTTGACTTTGTCCATGATGGCAACTTGGAAAGTCGGGCGCGGTCCATCATTAGATTGAGATAGTCGGGACATCCGATTATGATGACGCCTGAGGTCATTCGGGGATCATGGAGCAAACAGCTCCAGGCAGCGTGGCCGCCTAGAGATACGCCCAGAACTAGGTTCTCTGAGATGTGATGTTCGTTTTTAGGAAAGACGTATGATTCAAGATAGTCCATCAGTAAAGATGTATCTCTAGCGGTTCCCTCTATAAACCCCTTAAGCGTTAGTTAATCTATTTCTTTTTCCAAGGTTCTTATACACTTGATCAAGTGTACCATGTAGTATATATCCAGGACTCACGGAAAACGGAAAACATATCCTGCGCATGGCGGGGATTCCCCTGTCTCCAAGCCTCATTGGCCAACGGATCAACAAGTCTAGCACCATGATTTCTCTGGTCGAACGAAACAGCAATTAATCCCTTGGTTGACGATTGGGGCTTGCTATTCCAGTCGCCAATGGCGGACGCTGCGATGCCGGACATGCGCTCTTGCGTTGCTAGTCGAGGATGGAGTAACCAGAGACAGGCGACATTCTTGGTCTCGGGTCGAAGCTCTTCAAGTCCGAATACTGTTACTGAGATACCGGCGATTGCGTAGATGTTTCGTGAGACTGGTGTAGGTGCAGGACGACCAGAGTCGTCGAGAGTCTTCATGGGATCAGTCATTGTGGTTTTGTGGCGGTGGCGTGAGTATGATTGATCAATTGATGTAGGTTCAATTCGACAGTCCTCGTGCGGTTGACAGTCGGAATCGAGAAAGGATGTCTATGAAGAAGTAAAGAATGGTTTGGCGGGGAACAAAGTGTATTAGCGAGGCGACTCGGGTATATCGCGCCTGAGCCGAGGGTTCCTGGGTTATTACTAGCAGTACGGAGTCCTACTGTTACAGTGGTTAACCACAGTCTTGCTGACTCCACATTTCTTAACGCCGTAGCAAGACTAATTCCGACCATTGAAGAAGATCTGACAGTCCTCCTGGATCTTTCCTACTCTCTCCTATTACAACTCTTTCTTACTACTGCCAATATCACTCCGTACTCCGTGCTTCTAATCTATTATAATCTATTAATTACTTGGTTTCCACGTGACCCTGCCTCAGGCTGAAACGAATGCCCCAAATGGCAAAACGAAAACCTTCCAAGCTTAAGTGTCTGGAACACTAAACACTCCCATCAGCTATGATTTGATCAGACCAAATCATTCATCTCAAAGATCGTACTTCTCGCACTGGACTGTATCTGGAGCTTTTTTTTAGTATCGGTATCCGTACTTGCATTGCACTCCCCTTTTTTCCACCGTTGACCGCCCACTTGACTGTCTTGGCGGGCCTGTCTCCAGTCGGAGACGTTCTGATGGGGCGGAACTCCACCGCAGGTGCGAACTAATTTGACTACCAACGCTCCTTTAATGTCAACAGTCGCGTGTGCTACCCCCCTCCCCCATTGAACACACTGCATTTGTGGACATCGACCTTAGAATGCCCGCGACAAAATTCGATCACCCCCGCTAGGATCTCCATTGACCCGGAATGTATGTGAATCCCACTTTGGAACGTGGCCGTCAGGAGCTGCAACTAATGATCGTCTCGCAATAGAACCATGACCGACACCCTGTTAGCCTCTGCCCCTCGGCAGGAGGCTGATCGCGACCCCGAGACAGATAAATCCAAGAAACCCGAACCCATTTCCGTCTCGAAAAGCGGGAAGCTGGCCTCCCCGTTCCCTTCTCCCACCGCAGCCAATCGACCTGCGTCGCTCAAGACGACCCAACCATCTGGGGCCGCGGAGGAATCCAAGAGTTCGGAGACTCGGCAGATCTCAACGGGGGCCGACGGAATTCTAGAGAGCAAGGAGAACCTGCGTGCATCATCGACGCAGCAAGACTCCCCTCGGGAAAGACCATCCCTGAGCTCTCGATTGCCCAACAGATCCACCACCGATGAAAAGCCGCCGTCCTTGAAACGTCACAAGCAGCAAACTTCGATATCCGGCCAATCCCCTCCCTCTCGCGCTCCGAGCGTCGTCCAGTTCCAAACCGCAGAAAACGATGCCTCAGAACTGCCCCCGTCGCAGCCTCAATCCCGTCCCGCCTCTCTATACGGCGATGATTCGGAACAGACCAGGGGAAGACAATCGTTTATGAATAAGATCAAATCGTTGGCTGCATCTCCTCCGTTTGCATCACACTCGCGATCTGCTAGTGGACCTAATATAGGGGAAATCCGGATTCCCCCAACTGATTTGCAGACCCCGGGCTCTGAGCGTGGCGATTTTCGTTTCCCGGAGCCTCTGCCGGAGGAAGGAAGTGATATCGACGCTGATGCCGAGGAGAGCGGTGGGGAGCAACGTGAAGCCCCGAAGAAAAAGAGAAACTTCCGCCGACGACAGACCCAGGAGGAAGAAAGTGGAAATCGCACCGCTCCTACGACACCCAAAACAACCCGCCGGCCTTCTTTCCACTTCTCGTCGTCCTTTGCACCATTCGAAAACTATCGGACCAATCTTTTCCCGCGCAGAGCCAGCACCACGGACTTCACACCACAGCAACGAGAAGGTGTATCCGAAGATGAAGGCCGTGACAGGCTCACTAATAGACGGAAAAGACCTGGTTGGGGAGGCACTCGTGGTATGACATATGTGGGTCGACAAAATGATGCGCAAGGTAGCCAGGACGAGCGCCCAAGTCACTTACGGCGACTCACCGGATTTGCCGGGCCATCTGAGAATGCAGAGAGCCTCACGGCCACTTGGAAGCGCCATCGCAATGAGCGAGGAACTAGTGCCAGTGCCCAGCGATGGAGACAGATCAAGGCCGGCTTCAAACTAATTGGTCAACGCCGCAAGGTTGATAATACAGTGGACAATAAGAAGTCTGCAGAGTTGCTTGCCGAGCTGGCCTCGGCCGTACCAGCGGCTCTGATTCTGGCGAGTGCCTTCCAAAGAGATGAACATGGAAGCAAACGAATTCCAATTCTCCTAGAACAGTTGAAGGTCCGTGTTACAGATAGCCGCATTGATTCCCACTCTGGCGATCGCCATCTCGTGTTTCGGATTGAGCTCGAATACGGAAGTGGTATGACGCGGATGAAGTGGATCATCTTTCGAACGTTGAGAGACTTCGCAAACTTGCATCTCAAGTACAAGCTCCACCTTGGTACCCAGAAGTACATCCAGCTACGGACTAGCGAGAACAGCCCCAACATTCCTCGTTTCCCTCGAAGTGCTTTCCCTTATATGCGAGGTGTCCGGGGCTTGGAAAGCGAATTCGAAGATGAAGAAGAAGATGGAGGCTACGAGACCGGCAACGAAACGGCCCAGAGTGGTACTGAACGAGCTGGAAGGAAGAAAAAACAGACTCAGCAGCACCAGCGTCGACCTTCTGCCGGTATTGCTCGGAGAAAGTCCAGCATCACGAATCAGAACGGCGAGTCGGAAGCAGGCGAAGGAGCTGCCGGGAAAAGGGAAACATACCCCGAGAGACAACGCAAGAAACTTGAGATGTATCTGCAAAAGATGATCCGTTTCTTAATCTTCCGGGCAGACAGCAATCGTCTGTGCAAATTTCTTGAATTATCTGCACTCGGCGTTCGACTTGCTGCTGAAGGGAGCTACCACGGAAAGGAGGGCTTCCTGATCATTCAGTCATCCAAGGGCCTCGATTTCCGGAAGGCTCTGACTCCATCTCTCATCAAAAAGAGGCATTGGCCCAAGTGGTTCCTGGTTCGCCACAGCTACATCGTTTGTGTGGATTCACCAGAGGAGATGAATATCTACGATGTTTTCCTCATTGATCCTTACTTCAAAGTCCAGACACAAAAAATCAGCCTTCGTAACCAGAAAGCAAAGGATCTGGCGAAATCGGCCAAGGAATCTGCGAGACATCCTCAACACCACACACTCCGACTGGAGAATTCTGAGCGCAAGCTCAAGCTGCTGGCAAGAAACGAGCGTCAACTTCAACAATTCGAAGATTCGATCCGCTTCATGGCTGCGAACTCCCCGTGGATGAAACACAATCGGTTTGATAGTTTTGCGCCAGTACGGCAGAAATGTTTCGCGCAGTGGCTCGTTGATGCTCGTGACCACATGTGGGTGGTTTCGAGAGCCATCAACCAAGCAAAGGATGTTATTTATATTCATGACTGGTGGCTGAGCCCGGAACTCTACTTGAGAAGGCCTGCTGCTATCAGCCAAAAGTGGCGATTGGATCGTCTGCTCCAACAAAAGGCTCGCGAGGGCGTGAAGATTTTCATCATCATGTACCGGAACATCAACTCGGCCATTCCCATCGATTCGGAGTATTCTAAATTCTCCCTTCTCGAACTCCATCCCAACATCTTCGTGCAACGATCCCCGAACCAGTTCCGCCAGAATACCTTCTTCTGGGCTCATCACGAGAAGCTTTGTCTTATCGATCACACCCTGGCTTTCGTTGGAGGCATTGATCTGTGCTTCGGACGTTGGGATACCCCCCAGCATCAATTGACGGATGACAAGCCAACTGGTTTCGAGACAACAGATATGCCTAAGGACTCAGACCACTGTCAACTCTGGCCCGGAAAGGATTACTCGAACCCTCGAATCCAGGATTTCTACGACCTGGACAAGCCGTACGAGGAAATGTATGACCGAAATGTCGTTCCTCGAATGCCGTGGCATGATATTTCGATGCATGTGGTCGGCCAGCCTGCTCGAGATCTCACCCGCCACTTCGTTCAGCGCTGGAACTATATCCTTCGTCAGCGAAAGCCTACACGCCCAACTCCTTTCCTTCTGCCGCCTCCGGACTTTAATGCAGGTGACATGGAGGCATTGGGTCTGGAGGGAACTTGCGAGGTTCAGATCCTGCGTTCTAGTAGCATGTGGTCAACCGGAACTCCGGATGTTACAGAGCATAGTATCATGAATGCCTACGTCAAGTTGATCGAGGAGTCTGACCATTTCGTCTATATCGAGAACCAGTTCTTCATCAGTACCTGTGAGATCGAGGGAAGAAAGATCGAGAACCTCATTGGTGATGCTTTGGTGGAGCGAATTGTCAGAGCAGCCAAGAATGAGGAGGCATGGCGTGCTGTCATTGTCATTCCATTGATGCCAGGTTTCCAGAATACCGTGGACAGCGAAGGCGGAACAAGTGTGCGTCTAATCATGCAGTGTCAGTACCGCAGTATCTGCCGTGGTGAGACTTCTATCTTCGGACGTCTTCGTGCCTTGGGTATCGATCCGGAGGACTACATCCAGTTCTTCAGTCTGCGAGCTTGGGGCAAAATTGGGCCGCAGCAACAGCTGGTCACGGAGCAGCTGTACATCCATGCCAAGTGTATGGTTGTGGATGATCGAGCTGCCATCATCGGATCGGCCAACATCAACGAGCGATCCATGCTGGGTTCTCGAGATTCAGAAGTTGCCTCAATTGTGCGAGATACCGACATGATCCAATCCACCATGAATGGCAAGCCATACCTAGTTGGCCGATTCCCGCACACGCTTCGCATGCGTCTCATGCGCGAGCATCTTGGTATTGACGTTGACGAGCTTTTGGAGCATGATTTTGCCACCGAAGAAGAGCTGCGGAAGATCCAGGTCGTTGAAGAAGAAGGTTCCCAACCGGGCAAGGGCAAAGAGGGACCGGACTCGGTGTCCTCCATGATTGAGCGACAGGATGAGCGTGATATGATCGATCGTCGCCACCGCATTCAAGATGAGTTTTTGTCTCGCTCGGAAGGCATGCACAGCTTCAACCATGATGTAGACTGGGAACAGGGCAGCAACCCCAACCTCAAAAGCAACAGGAAGCTTACTGCCGACCCGCGTGTTACTTCCAACCCCGAGCACACTAAAGATGTGGATGGCGAGGGAATTGACAACTTTAAGGTTATTGAACAGGCTGGACTGGGCGTTGGTCGTGACTCGCAAATGACGCCAGGTGGTAGAGAAGCTTTGCTTTCACCCATCGCCTCCGAAGGCAAGGGAACCATTGGTGAGCCAAAGCAGGCTCCTCCCCAACAGAAGCCAGCCCGGGCTACGTCAACTCGCAAGGATGGAAAGCTTGGATCTTCCGCCGAATCTGAGACCAACACCAACTCTGATAACCCCTCGAATGGCAATGGCAATGGCAATGGTAATGGCCACGGTGCATCCGGGTCCTCTAGCCGTGAATCAGAGTGCGGTGGTAGTGCCGGTTTAATCGTGTCTAAGGAAAGCTACGACAATTCCAGATACGGACAGCCATATGTCCCCGATCTAAAGCGCATCTTCGTCGACAAGGATTGCATGAAGGACCCCTTGAACGATGCATTCTATCTCGACACATGGCAAGCCGTTGCAGAAAAGAACACAAAGGTTTTCCGCTCCGTATTCCGCTGCATGCCTGACAGTGAAGTCAAGAACTGGAAAGAATACAAAGAGTACGCCGCATACGGAGAACGCTTCGCAGAGATCCAAAGCAACAGACCCAATGCCCAGCAAAAACCCGCCGGACCAACTTCTCCAGGTGCCGCTTCGGTCTCAGTTGGCTCACCCACATCACCCACCAGTCCCAAGGCAGAGAATCCCCAGACTATCAACGAGAAACTCGAGGCCACTCACAGTGAACCCGAGCGTCCGCATTCCGAACTTCTGAACCAAGAAACCCTATCGCCGATTGACGAGAAGGCCGCTCTCAAGGTAGCATCCGACCCGCAGCTTGTATCAAGCGGTCAGAATGGGGAGGATGGTGCTGCGGCCGAGGAGGAGAAGCCTCGCTCTGCCTCCGTTCACGTCGATTACTCCGAGGCTGTTAATCTCAACGCTTCTCAATCTCGCAGACGTCGTCGCAGGGCTAACACTAGTGGTTCTAAGCGGGAGTTCCATGCTTCGGATGAGGTTATGGACTCTGCTCGAGCAGAGGATCTTCTAAATAAGGTTCAGGGCCACCTTATTCTTTGGCCGTATGATTGGTATGTTTACCCTTCGTTTTTTCTTTCTTTCTGCTGTTTAGTGGAAAAGGAAATTGTTCAAATTGACCAATGCTAATATTTCTCTCTTTTTTCACAGGCTCGAAAAAGAAGAACAAGGTGGAAACTGGCTATACGCTCTTGATCAAATTTCCCCTCTGGAAATTTATAACTAATCTGGTTCATATTCTTATCACTTGCACCGAACGAACGGCCCTGGCGTCCCGTTTTTTGACAACTTGACTTTGTCAAGCGCCATTTTTCAAATCCTCCCCTCATTCTTTCGAGGGGAATTCGCATTCTTTCGTCTTATATTCTGAAAACGCGTTGATTGCGAATTCGAGCATTTTCAAACTGGTCTCACTACCTCTTTTTTTCTGCTTTACTTTTTTTTTGTTAAAATGGGCGGATCCTTTTGAACTTTGTGCTTTTTCTTTTTATAAACTTGTTATCTGGTACCTGCTGCCTAATACTAGGTACTAGGTAGCGAGCGGTACCCACTAGAAGCCGCCCTGGAGGCGTTTCTAGTTCTTTAGTTTCAAGTTTTTGTCTTTTAAAGCGCTAGACCTAAAAATGTTAATTCCATAAGTATTGGTATTTCTCTCTCTATATGATGGCTGCAAAAAGAATAACTTTCTTTCCCTTTCTTAAAAAAAAGAAGGACGGGGACATGTTCTACCATCATTCATTTTTTTACTTATGCCGACGGTGTACAAGTTACTACTACCTACCTGGTACATACGCAAAGAACCTTGAAACCAAGACTAATATCAGACATGCATTTCAAAAAACAAATCATGGTATCCATAACATCAGTCATCGTAATCCCCAAGCATTAAAGAAAATAAACCAACCAACCCAGTCCAACTCAACTGGGGGTCCAAATAGGATACCAGAAAAGTTATCAAGAAAAGAAAAAGAGAAGAAAAAAAAACGTAGCCACACACAAATAAAAACAGGATATAGAGATATACATGCAAATGATATATGCATGGAACAAAATGGAAAGAAAAGAGGAAATCGTGAGCGTCGCTTTTGGATGGTAAGTAGAGTAGGTATCCCGGAATTTCCCCAATCTGGATGGAAGGGGTATATACAACGATTTGTGACACAGGGGGTCATGAAGAGAAATGAAAAGAGTAGAAGAAAAGAAAGAGAAGAAGAGAAGAGAAAGAAAAAGGAAAGAAGAAATGGAAGGAAAATGAAAAGGTCATAATGCAGGAAGGGATGTGGATGGGAGAGTGACCAGGACTGGAAGAAGCCACAGCTCACTGGAGCTGGAGCCTAAAGCATCGAACCTCAAGGCTCAAGGCTCAAGCAGAAACAGGCGTTTTCTGCTCCTCCTCCTTCTCCTCCCCCTTCTCCCCATCAACAGCCACAACCCCATCATCCCCATCAGTCCTATTGTAATTATTCGACTCCGCAAAAATCTTAACCTTGGAATTAATCGCATTCCTCAACGAATCAATATAAGTCCTGAACTTAACAATCTCCCTAAGAAGATACGACGACTTCCGTTCCCAATTAGCCATAGCCTTCGAGGAATTCGGATGTCTGGGCGAAAAAGCCAAATTCATCGCCGGACGCAACTCGTTATGACGCTGCAAATCATCTTCGACATTCTTCACATACGACTGGAGAGCCTTTAACTGGTCTTCTTCCGTCAGGTTCGAAGCAACCATGCTTTGCTGTGGTGGACTCCAGTCACTGATGTTTACCCTGTCGGCGGGTAATTTCGGTCGAATAGCGCCCTGATGGTCGATGGAAGAGCGGATTGAGCTTTGGATACTAGCTCGTGGAGCCGGACCCGCGGTGCCAGATGAAGGGGGCGGTGATCGATTCTGATTTTGACTATCGGGATTGATTAGGGCGCTGTTGATTACTGCGTCACTCCATCCGTATTCGATATTACTGATTCCTCCCACCAGAGGTTGTTTGGATAAACGTGCGCTCCAGTAATTGGCCGTTGAGACGAATTCGCGTACGATTTCCGGAGTGCCGGCTTGGAAGAGATGGACTGCTCCGGTGGGTAGACTCAAGGCCCAGACATGTGGGCGAGACTTGGAATAACCCGGTGAAGGGAGGGCGCTGGCAATGGTCTGCCGAAGCATGAATTTCCATATCTCTTCTGCGTTCTCGGTCCAGTTGCCGCCTCCGACGACGACGCCTCCGCGTTGCTTCGCCTTCATTCGCATTGACTTTGATGCGTTGCTGAATGAGAAAAGGCGCATCCAGCCTTGCTGGATGACAGCGAAACACTCGTTCCAATTGCGGTCCTTGGCGCGCTTGTCAACTGCATCCAAATGATGCTTGTGCTTCACGCTGCCTTCCTTGGCCCAGGGGGCACCGGCTAAGGCTAAAGTTTCGTCTTCCAGAAGTGGCGTCGTCCTCTCTGGCTCGTCAAAGCTATAAATAGAGGTGGCGGAGTCTTCTCGGATAATGGCTTGGCTGAGAGCGTTGGCAAAACCAATTGATTGCTGATATTCGCCACGAGGGAACTCCGAGCCAAACGAATCCACAGAAGCAGAGGTAAACTTGCCAAGTGAATACTTGCTCCATGTGCTTGACGCAGTTGGGCTCCAGACTGAGGACTGGTCGTCCAAACTTGTCCGGCTGGATCCCATCATAGACGGAGGATATAATCTGGCGCCCCGTGAGCGCGGTTTTGACGACCAGCGTGCAGCACCATGGCGAGAATCGGCGGAGCGACCCCGAGGGAAGATGTCTGAGCCACTTTTGCTAATAGTGCTGGGACTTCTGCGAAGCAGGCTGGAAGTTGGGCCGAGGAAGTTGTTAGATGACATGCGCGAAATCTCTTTCTCCGGCTGCGGCTGTGCGCCGTGGAGAGGAAGTCTCTCCTTCTGAATCGAGGTATAGAATTCCTTAAGCACTGCTTCCACCTGCTGTTCCCATGCCCTGACAGTTCCAGTGAAAGGAGTGCTGACCAATGGGCCAGCATCGGTATCAGTTGTCTTTTCCATGTCTAATGAACTGCGGCCAATATCGGTGGGAAAGGTAGGAGAGCGCGCAGAGGTAGGGGTCGGGGTCGAGTCGGGGTTCGAAGAGGCGGTCTTAGAGCGGTTGACAGGGCGCAATGTCTCGAAGCCTTCCGGGGCTGCATCCATCGCGACACGATGGATTGTCGGCATGGTGTTTCTGACGAATTGCGACTTGGTCATCTTCGATTCAATGTCGGCTAAATGCAAGTCGGTGTTCAGTAGAAGAATGGAGTAACAAATGGTGTGGACGACATCTATAAATCTGTTAGAAAGAAAATCACTACCCTAAGCAGATTTCAAAAGCATAAGCTTACCGGTAGCCTTGAAGCCATGACTCGGGTTGCAATCACACCATCTGGTTGAGAAGGCATCCAAGACCCGGTCGACCTGCTGAGTCTCTCCCTTCAAAACCAAGCGCTGGCAAAGACTTCGGAGAGCAGCAAGAATATTCATGTTGGACCAGTTGAAGAGTCGCATATAAGCCTCGCGAATTGTGGCGCGATCAGGGTCACCAAGCCAAGCAGCCGCTGGATCATTTCCAACGACCTCATCTTGGCTATCAAAGAGCTTTTGCGCTTGCTCTCTGTCAGACGCGGAGGGTCCATCTTCAACAGCCTCGCCGGGGCCATCCATCTTGTCTTCCTCGTCTGCAATAGCTTTGGGCTCCTCCGACTCGATCACAGGAGTGTTGGATGCAGTTTGATAGTGAGAAACTTCGGAAGCGGCAGGTGATTCGGGAACATTGTTGTCAGAGGGGAGGAGTGTCAACTTTTTGGGTCCAGCCAGATTATCCTGGGAGACATCAGACTTAGTGGAAACCTTGAGGTTGCGTGGGAAAGCTTCTGCAACAGGTGACAGCATGGCCGGTGACGCTGAATTTGTACTCTTCTCCTGCAAGGGGGAATCGGCAGACGCATTTGACTCCACATCACTAGCTTTTGGAGTGTTATCGGAGGTGCCACGACCGCCAGCTAGCGGTGAGCGATCCTGGCCGCGGGAAGAAGCCGGCGGCTGGAGGCTTTGCTTCGTCTTGGAGGGACCTCCAGGAGCCGAGACACTTTCTCTTGGCTTTTCCGTTTGCAATGATAATGCTTCCCGGGCCAGTTTACTGCCTTCACGGGCCTCCGGATTCCCTGGGGTACCGTCTGCTATATAAGGATTCATCACCTGTCGCAAGCTGCTCACCGGGCTTGGCTCTGGCTTCATGTAATCTAGAGCGTTCGATGCGAGGTCCTGAGGCAGGGTAATCGGGGGCGGGACATTATCAACCACAGACTTCTTACGACGTCGGAAAAACGAAGACTTCTGCTTGACCAAGTGTGGAGGTCCATCGCGTGTAGCCGGAGGTGCTCCAGCCGAACTCTTCGGGGGTGGTTGCTGTCTGCGGGTTTTGAGGGTGGCAGTCGCTCCAGGGGAATCCTTCTGCTCGGCCTCTTGCACAGATGCGTCGTTGGTGTTTGAGGTTGGAGACTCTGCTGGAACTGGGGACGAATTCTTCCCTGCGCCAAAGACACGTCGGAAGAAGCCCGGGCGTGGTGGTTCTTTGGGAGTACTTGCAGAGTTATTGCTGTTGCTATTGGTTGCAGTAATAACAGTGGTTGTTGCCATCGCTGTGGGTTCCGGTTGAGGGAAAGCCGGTTTATTGTATGAAATAGTCGGGCTCGGCGCAGGCGGATCTAATGTTGCGGGCATGGCCGGAGGCATATCGAGATCCGTCTCTCCGGATGGCTGGAATTCACTCTCCCGGCCTTTCAAAGTGCTGGTTCCGATATTTTCAGGGCGAGATTTTCGAACCTGGGGTGCTTGCGCTGACTTTACACTATTTCGCCGCGATGCGGCAGGCGTTCGTGATGCAGGGGCGGTTGGGGTCCTATAATCATGAAGCTTGCGGGGTCCTGCTGGAACACTTGGTGTCGGTGCCGCATCGTCGTCGTATAAGTAGTCCTGGCTAGCATCGACGTCCGTATGTGGGATGAACTTCTGTGGGCCGCAGTCAAAACTTTCTGAGCGTCGATGTCGATCCATGCCTCCTGAATCAGCGCGCCCTCTAGGAATTGTGTATGTATAGTCCGCCGTCGAAGTGCTTCCCTTGCTACCTTTGCGTATATCATTGGATCTCGGCATCGTCCCGGCACCTGATCGAGTGCTCATGGCATCCCCGCGGGCACTCCCCATCCTCCTCGGGGCTGTTTGATGATTAGAACTGCTATTGCTCCGGCGGCCTTTGGCGGTTATAGTAGCGTAGCGACTGCTTCCATCGTCATATCCGAAGTCGGCTTCGGAAGACATTGAGGAGGAGAAGGTGTGGCCGCGGTATCGGCCATTGGTCGAGTCTGTCTCAAAGGCCGAATTGAACAATCGATAGTCGTCTAGCACTGATGAAGCCGGGGCAAATTGGTCCAGCGATAGCAGCATGTTATCAACAATGGATGTGCGAGCCGCGTGGTTTGGAGACAGGGATAGGTCATGGGGGTCCCGTTCGTCGCCGGACTCGCTCGCTCTAGGCGCATTGTCGAGGGCGGCCGCAGTATCCGGGAAGGCATCGCGAATTGACGGTCGGGTATATCCTCGCTTGGGTCTAAACGTCGCAGTCTGAGAGGGAGGGGTCCGGGAGGGGAACCGGCAGCGTATGTGTCGCGCTGCTGAGACATTGTCACACTAGGAGCGCGGGTTAGTCGAGTCTGAAGTAGAACGATGGTCGAGGGTCAAATCCAGATGAAAATTCCCTGGATGAAGACGAGGAGACTCAAGGAGGGAGAGATCACGATGGGCTCTAAGATAGCACGTACCGGCAATGCCCAAGGCTCGAAGATCGGAGATGTCGTTGCCCGAAAATGGAGTGGGCTGGACCAGTTGCGGAGCGGAGGGCACGGGGAGGGGATGATTCTTAGAGGGTCATCGCATGTCCCTGACAACGCAAGGGGGTATCGGGGGGCAGTGTCAATGTGAGTTAAGGTGAATTGATTGATAATGGGACCGGGTGAAAGAGAAAACAAGAGGCACAAAAGGAACAAAAGGAACAAAAAGAACAAGAGAAACAAGAGCCGGGGGCGGGACGAACTCCTGAAGTTCCAAGGTTGAACTAGTCAAAGAAGGTGGAACTGGAGAACCTTAGAACTGATGGAAGTTAATACCTGGCAAAGTTTGGGTCTTTAGGGTAGTTATTGGTTCAAGTTACCAAGGTTTATCTCATCAAGCCACAATTGCAATCAGAGAGAGGATATTCGGGGTAGTGAGGGTACTAGGACTAGGTCGAAACAGAAACAGGGGAAATTGATGCAGTTTGGCCGTGAGGTCCATCTGCATGGATTCAGGGGGTCGATGCGTTGGCACCCTGTTTTTGGCTCAAATACGCCTATCACACAGAGTTGGAGAAATCCTGTTATGATTGCAGAGTAGATACGAGTATACTGAGCGCAAAGTATCTATCTTGAGTATACGAAGGTAAGTATACTGGTTTCTGACTCCTCTTCCGCTGCGCAACTTGGTCGATCTTGATGGTGGAGCCCAGTGGAGACCAACCGTCTCGCGCTCAGTCCATGTTCTTGCAGATTGCAGGCTGGATGCTATGCAGTAATGTGATGCATCTAGAGGCAACTTTGACTTTTCCATGGCATGGTGAGTGACATGGTGAGGTCTGCCAGTGTTTGTCCGGTTCAATGCTGAGTTGATGGATCGAATATATCAAGAAGGTTTGTACATGTACACTACCTAGGTACTCGCTCACTACACCGTGATTACGAATATGAACATCTGTTGAAAATATATACTTGCCCAGCCGCCAGTGCTCTTGTGGATCACCTTGGCACAAGATAGCACAGGACACCATTATTATCTATCTACTACTGTAGGTACAACTACTATAAATGCTCCCTTGCAGAGTGGTCCAGTTAACATCACCGTAGTCCAGTATACTTGGGTTAGTCACGAGACCGATACCGGTCAATGAAGACTACCATTTGTAGAATACTCGTAAACTATATGGAACATATATTGACTATTTTGTGAGTTTATGAAATATGAAACAAGCGAGCTGATCAATTTGAAACAGCTTCACTTACACTACACCTTTGCAAAGCTATCTGCCTCAGGCATGCGATTGTGGTACACCTCAGGCACAAAGGCACAAGTCATGTGACGATGACATAGCCCCGAGACCTGCGTACTCGGGCTCAACCGATCAACGTGTCGTGTCAATGTCCTGACCAGAACGGGCCTCGACAATGAACCCGCACATCTCTGTTCCTCGCCAACATGCTGGTCCGGCCAATTTCGGTTCCACCCTCGCCGCGGGTCCAGCGTGCGCATGCCGCGCTTCTTTAAGAGGTACGCTCCTCGGCATGGCAGAGGGGGAATGGGAACTTGAACCAAAGACAATAGCGACTGACTATATTATACCCAACAGGCTCTTTAAATTTCCCCAAATGGACTTTGAGATGGCCATCTGGGAAATGACTTCCCTACTGATCGCCCCGAAGAAGGTCTTCAAGTCCATATATTACCATGTAAGTTATCCATTCCGCCGGGAATCGGATCTCGGGCAGTCCAGCCAGCCCAAGTCCAATTGATCAATCCATGCTAACCACCTTATTTCCATATAGAAACGTAAGTCACGTCGTGTGCCAGGGCCAACACCTCTTCACCTCTCCAATACCTCTCTCCTAACTCGAACTTTCTTCTTTCGCAGAAACCAAAAACACATGGCATCGCCCTGACCCATCATTCACCTACCTCCTCTCTTTCTTCCTACTCCTCACAGCCCTCGCCTGGGGTCTCGCCTATACCCCCTCATTCGGCGCGATCATCCGCCTCTCGCTACTCTTCGTATTCTTGCATTTCATTGGATCATCGCTGTTCGTCTCTGCTATCGGCTACTTTGTCATTGGCCGCCTCTTTGGTCCCAATGGCGCCGCTGCCTCGATGACTGGCTTCCGCGGCTCGAGGGGTCGTCGGCGCGGTGCTGCTCAGGGTTTATTCATGCAACCCGGGGAGAAAGATCAGCTGGAATTTGGATACTGCTTTGATGTATGCCTCCTAGCCCAAGCCTAGCCCTCTTTCTTTTCTTTGGTTTGGGAAATTTCCTCTCTAACGCAATCCCCAGGTCTCCAATCGCGCGTTTTTCCCTCTCTACTTGCACCTCTACGTGATCCAGTTCCTACTCCTCCCACTCCTCACACGCAGCCCGAGTAATTTCCTCGCAACATTCCTCGGAAACACGCTCTACCTCTCCGCCTTGATCTACTACACCTACATCACTTTCCTGGGCTATAATGCTCTTCCATTCTTGCATAACACGGAGTTGCTTCTCATTCCCATCCTGATATTCGGCCTTCTCTGGCTCATTAGCTTGATTGCTGGATGGGGGGTTGTCATGGATGGATGGGGCGTTGAGGGCTTGTTCTGGGGTGTATGAAAATAGCTAGGGCCACAGCCACAGCTATGGCTACGGCTACATACATCCTTCGCCCCAGAAAGAAAAGAATCCATTGACTTGGCTTGACCACTCTGGGCTATTCTTCCCACTCTAAACTAATTTCTTGGGGGCTTTGATTTTTATGTCCCATGTACGAACGAAACCTTCATTTTCCTTTCTCTCCTTTTCATTTTCCTCTTCCTTTTCCTTTTCTTTTTTTTCCCTTCTCATTGATCTATTCCTGGCTATGCATCGAAAAAGAGTAATTCTTGTTCTCTTCTGTGATTAGGGTGGGCGTTGGTGTACATGATTTTGTCTTTCATCTCTAGGACCAGGACCAGGACCAGGCATTATTTCCTTTCCCCATTCCCATTCCCATTCCCATTCCCTCTGTGCGTGTATTTGTGTTATAGATCACAATATCAAAATATCCTTTTCAGTCATCACGTTATATCGGTATCAAAAACACACACAGAAAAATGTCATCAACATCAACATCAACATCAACATCAACATCAACATCAACACCCTCCCCAAACCCTCCAGCCGGCAAGACAAGACAAGAAAAGTTACAACATCTATTCTATTTCTTCTTGTTACCCCCCTTCTTACTACCAGGCGCAACCTTCCCCATAGCAGCAGCCCGCAATTTATCCTCACGAGCCTGAATAGCCGCCGCCCGCTCCTTAGCAGCCTCATCCTTCTCCTCCTTCTCAGCCTCCTTCCTCGCCTTCTCCGCCTCACGCTGTTCCCGAATAATCTTGAGTCTCGCCAGATCAGCCCTAGCCTCATCAGTCTTCCCCTCAGCATGAAGCTTCAAATACCGCTCCCTCGCCTGCTGCGCCTGAATCGCCTCACGCTCACGACGAGAAAGCTGTGAGAGGTCCTTAACCACCTTTTTAGGCTTCTTCTCTTCATCCGAGTCGGTGGGTTTGATCAGTTGGGAGCGGGATTTGGCTGTGTGGTTTGGGTTGGCGGGGAGGGCGGCGGATGCAGATGAGGGCTCGTCGTCGTCGTCATCTTCGGACTCGGAGTCTGTGGGGAGATCGCCGACTTGTGCGGGGCCCTTTTTGCGCTTTGCTAGGGCCGCGGCTTTCTTTGCTTTTGCGGCAGCGCGGCGGGCTTCGCGGGTTACTTCTTCGGATGCGTTGGTGGGTTGGGCGCCGCTGCTGGCAGTGGGAGCGGCGTCATCGCTTTCGTCGGAGCTTTCTTCCTCTGATGAGGATTCCTCGCTGGATGAGGGGATTTCGTCGCCGGGGTCCTGTTGTATAAGAATGGCGTGTCAGTTTTTTTCTTGTTCATTTCACTGTGCTTGTGCCCGAGAGGTGGCGGGGGGGAGAGGGGGAGGGGAATTGGTTTTCTTCCAATTCCACTGGAGTTTCAACTTACGCGCCAGAGACCGACTGGGTTACCCTCCTTATCGATGGGCTGTAGGTCACGACTGAACTTCTTGCCTCCTAATTTCAAGCAAATTGGTGAGTTCTTTGTCCGGGGAGCGGGGGCATTTGCGCAGGTGAACGCGATCGTACCTCCTCGCGAGGGCTTTGAGAACTTTCCTCCACGACCGCGGGGCGCCATGATGAAGAAGTCTTGATGTGTGTTTTTTGAATGGAAGTGGGGGTTGTAGAGGTTGCCGAGTAATCTGTAGCTCAGATAGATGTATGTAGCTATTTTTTAACCCTTCAAAAGACACAGTCAGTACTTTGTTGAGTCATTTCGAGTCACCACGGACAAGGCATACACTGAGTAGACCGCAAATGGAGGGGCAAGACAAAGTGGGGTGGAAAGAAGTGCGCGGGCAATGAAGACAAGCGCCAAAGAGAGGAGAGAGAATGGAGATTGGAGACACAAGATGGAATTGACCAGGGTACCAGTACTTACCGTGAAATGAGGGTGCTGGGAGGGCTGGGGAACAATATTGAAAAGAAGATGGCGGACGAGTCACCGCGCTGGAATTAATCAGTTTTGGTGGGGAGGCAATGCTTCCGCCCGAGCATTCACATTAGGGTACCGCCACCACTATAAGGTACAACTAGTATAACAGATGCTCAGCTATTTCTACAGGCTATTCGGAAATTAGAGGTAGAGGAAGATTGTCTTAATTGATAAAGTGCATTTCTAGAAAACAATATAAGACTTGAAACTCACAAATAATAAATGGCCCAGTCAAAGCAGTTAGAATAATCAGACAATGCCATTGCCCTAAGGACCTGGTTCCTGGTTCTCATGTATGGATCATCGGTTTGATTCCCAGAGGTACTCATCCCGCTTAGCTGACTGGAGGCTGAGGAATAGCCCCTGAACCCAGGGAAAATGCTCAAACTCGATCTTTGAAGGCTGTTCTTGTGCAGCGAGAACCGGAACGTCTGATAGAAATTGCCTGTGGTAGACTCAGGCTTCCAGGAAACTCAAGCCCTCCCTTGAAATACGTACTCGAGGACTCACAAACCTGACTAGCAAAGGCACACTTCCTGAGCCCCCGTGATAATCTTAATGTCTGCGAATATTTCCGAAAGGGGAGTGAAATGAGAACAATTCGTGATATCCTTACTGGACAGCATGCCCATCACCTGGTTGGAACCCATGCACACAAAACTTCTCGAATCTCCTTCGACTGAGAAATGATTCCCACTTTTCTTGGCCACGGCATGCTCCCAGGTCGCAATCAGCTTCTCTTTCTCACTCGCAGGATCTTTGACATGATAGATCTCGATGGATTCTACCTTATTCAAACGCCCTCGGATGGGACATCGTTGCCAAGACCCGTGAATTAGGACAGGCTGATATGTGCTCGGCTATTCAATGGTCAGCATAATATTGATAGTACGAATGGAATTAAAGTACTTACCTGGTTGTAGTGACTCCAAATCGTTGGAAATCGGGCGGGGGCTACCCGGATAAGGGCCCAGTGGAAGTGAACCAGACAATAGATGAGAGATGTTTGATATGCACTTGACAGGGACTTGAAGGATCAAGAGCATGTAGAAGCTTGCCGAAACCTGTAGTGATTGTTAGTAAGTGTTAATAACTATTTAGAACCATGAGTAGTTAATTACCTGCAGCCCTGCTTTGAGCACATATCAACCGGGACAGCCTGAATACCAGGGCTGGTTGCCTTGAGTCAAGCAATGACACAAACAGAACACCCTCAGCATAACGTCAGTAGTCTCAATAACATACACGAGACCCGGGCTTCAGTCTCGAACAGCCACACATCTCTATAGAACTCTTTCGAGATAACGAGTTCTCCGGGAGGGTAACATCGTCTTCCATCATGTTTCCCGCGATGCTTCGTGATGGTTCAGTGCGGGAAGCATCTCATACAATAATAGACTGAGTTGCCCGGACAGAAAATGGCCAACATGCTGCTCGAATCGTCTTTGTAGTCCTGTCTCGTCCGCAACCAAGACGTGCTTTTCCAGCCAAGAAGGTCGCTAAATGGGGCTGGGCATTTCGTGTCAAATATCGCGACTAGGACACCTGTTTCCAGGTCATCCTTGACAAAGGCACCTTCAAGGAAAAGTCGCTTTGCTTTGTCAAACTCATCCTCAAACATCAAATTGTTCACGGTATGTTGGTTGTTAGAATCTCCATGCAACAAGCGAGCAAGTTGAGAAGAGTAACTTTGTGGGTGCCTAGCCCATCGAAGCCATTCATCATAACAATCAGCCCCCTTCCGAGTGAATCTTGCTTGGTAAAGAGCTCCATGAAATTATCTCGCACGGGCTTGTAGAAGCCCTGGTTTGAGCTTTGTACGAAGACAAGTAGCTCCACAAAGTCCCTTGAAAAGACTAAAATTAATGATATATTAGTGATTGATCGAAAGTGAGGCATCACGAATACTAGCATACTTATGTTTTGACCCTCCGCCAAATTATTGCTATTCCATGCTGTTGTATACAGCTATCTCCTTTTGATAGTGGATCTTACCACAGATCAACAGTATTAGTTAACTTCTTGCAAAAACACCCATCTCTCTCTCAGTTCCAAAACAGCTCCACCAACAGTTCGATCTGTACCAGTAGGCGTTCAATCTGTTCCGCCAGCACATCCATTCGCTGATCGTCAATTTTTTCTTGCTCTCACTCACGCCACTCACCGATCCACATACCATCAGCCACTGCTCCCGGATCTCGGCCGCTCCCCAACCCCGGTGACCTGAACGGCCACCATGGTCTGGGGAAAGGCGTCGACCTCGAGGAGCAGTTGGTGGAGAGAGTCCAACACGTCCTCCAGCTCCTCAACGAATAGGTTGACCGCGCTTGATTCCTATCAATCGTTAATTTTGGTGTCTTTTCCTGCCTTCTTTGCATACGTACTGGGTGACCCCATGGGGCTGCGTCCATATCACCGGCCGGGATCGAGGCTACGTCTGCCTCGACCCCGACCAGTATGCCTGCCATATTCACCGCTTTTCCATCCAGTAGTCGTCTCATTCTGGTCTAGAATCTTCAATCAGCTATTCTGAACCGGCCTCTCCTCTCCTGTTCTGTAAGAGCATGGCCTCCATACTCATTGTCTTCCAACGCCGCTTGGTTGTAATATGGGACAGGCCGCAACCATTGCCTCCTAGGCAATGGTTATATTGGGGAGACTCAAGCTGCCCTAATATCCCCACTCATTGGATTCGGTCCATCATGTTTCGGGCATATTGTACTTCATTGAGTCGAGTCGAACCTCTTGTTGAAATTTGGCTAGGGCTCAAGAATCCCCACAAACTTTATGCGACGGAGGACTGAGCTTCCGGTTCGTCAGGTTCGGCTGGTTTGTGAGCTGCCAAGATTGATATATGGTATAGCCTTAAGCACCAGGTCGCGCGCAGTCTGCCGAATCAAAGCCATAGTTGCTTTTGATGTTCTGAGAGGACTTGGAGAAGTTGTTTTGATCGCGATTTCTCACTGTTTATATAGTTCTGGGTGTTGAGGTAGCTCCGGGTTCTCCTACTCCTCATCATCATTTCAGGGCTCAACTAATCAGGGCACCAGTCCTCTTGCGGCGCCTTTGCCATCCCCTTCCCCATCGCCGTCGAGACGAAGGCAGGGGATTCTGAGTCGCTTTGCTCAGCGACATCCTGTGCTCACGTACACAATGATGGACCATAGGGCCTAGCTTGAATAGTTGAATCTCACAAGCGAAGCAAGTCTCCATGGTGTATCCCTTTCGTTGAGGACCGTCATCAACTAGTTCAGTGATGGAGAGAGGGGAAGGAGATGATGGGTGATGTAAGGTGTAGATTGATGGAACAATGGAGGGAGGCTAATATAGGTGACCTGAGACAGCCTGAGACATCACAGCCTCAACATTCAGCATTTTTTTGGAGTAAGCAGACTCCTGCACGGGTGTAGTGCATGGTGTAATAGAATATTAGTAGTAAGTGTGTTGTGAAAGGTGCAGGAGGTGCAGGTGCAGGTGCAGGGAGCTATGGAAACATTGCTGACTAACAACTCCTAACCACAACAGTGCTCAAAGAACTTTGAAGTGACCTATTTTGATGATTTATTCAGCTTCTGCTTATTGAGGTGTTCTTTTCTATTCCCAGCCCTGTACCACCTAGAACAGTCGAAAAAGTGATGTTGTGAGGGTACCAAGATGCTAGCTAGCAACTACATTGGGTAGGTGCATTGCAGATGCGAAGACGTCTACCGTGATTGTTTCTTAGATTTCATATAAAATATAACATTTCTGGACAGAAGGACCAAGGACTTATAAAGAGACTAGATATGCAGACACAATAACATTTTGTCAAATACCACGACAATTGATCACTGTTTGAAATCAGACTATTGTATATGTCCTGCAATTTATGTCCGATGTCTGTACGCACAAACGAACTCCTTGCAGTATAAACGGAATATAGCGCCCCCACCTCTTCTTCCACATCTTTCATAGTTAGGATCTCTGAAAGGGAAAAAGTCGCTGACTTGAAAGACTCGGAAAAATGCCAGCCTAGTGGTAGAGGTCTCCATGGTCACCCTTGATAGCATCGGCGCCCTTCTCTGCCACCATATAGACTGAGTTCTGAATGCGACAGTCAGGAATAACAGGGATAACAGAGGCATCAATAACCCGCAGGTTCTTGATTCCATGTACCTTCAGGCCCGCATCCACCACACCTTGCTGGATATTTTTGGAGAGACGGGCTGTACCGCAAGGATGGAAAGAGGTCTGAGAGCGATCCAACACAGTTCTTTTCATCGCGTCGTCGTCGTGAAGAGGCATATCCCAAGGATACTCATCCAGAACGATGTCCTTAAATCCTTCACCATTCTTGAGAACATCATATGCAAATCTGATACCCTCACGGATGGCAATGATATCAAGGTCATCTTGGAAATAGTTCAAGTTGATGTTAGGTTGCTCCAGAGGATCCGCGCTATTGAGGGTAACCTCACCACCCTCGGAGACAGGACGAACAAGATCCACCATAACTGTCATATAACTGCCTTTGTTTGGATGCGGGAAATGCCACTGGAAGGCACTACCAAACAGAGGGATGAAATCAAGCTCGAAATGGGGCTGGCCATAGGGACAGAAAGGATCGAGTCCACTGTTGGCAGCTTTTGCCTTGATGTACTCAGGCGACTTTTCAAGGTATTTGTCGATGCGAGGGAAACCAATCAATTCGAGGAAAGGTGACCCCATAGCGCCGAGATGTCCCTTGGAATAAGATTCTAGAACCTTATTTTGCAGTGGACCCTTTCTCAAGACATGGCTATCCATTGAGAACTCATCTTTAAGACGAAGAACAAAGGGAACGCCAGGGTGATCTAAAAGATGCTGACCAACATGGCGGGAGTCAACAATCACTGGGATGTTGTGCTTGGTCAGCTCTGGTGCCGGCCCTATGCCGCTGAGCATCAGAAGCTTAGGGGTTTCGAAGACACCCTGAGAGACGATAACTTCACGAGAAGCATAGAGATTCAGCTCTTGCCCAGAGGCGGTGATCACAGTAACACCCTTAGCAGTGCGATCAGCATCGTCGATGATAAGCCGTTTCGAGTGAACCTCGGGAAGTATGGTAATGTTTGGCTTATCCACGACTGCCAGAAAACTTCCGGAGCGCCGACCCTTGTAGATAGTATTGACACTATGAACTAGGCCCCGCATCTCACCATCAAAAATGTTTTCTGAAATAGGCTCACCAGTGGATTTCCAAGCCTTAGAGAGAAGATCACGGAAGCCCTTCATTTCCGGCATGAGTTCAGCATGGGCAATCGGAATCGGACCACCTGAGCCAATTTTCTTGAGCTCTGGAGGATATAGACCAGCATCGTCGTGATAGGTGACACTCTTTCGGAGATAAGGGACGAGAGGATCCCAAGTCCACTCTTTCCCGCCGTACTCCTCCCACATATCAAAGGTAGCCTTTGAACCGGGAACCCAAGAGAAGTAATTCAAGGACGAGCTACCGCCAAGAGCCTTTCCACGAGTGTTAGGCTTCTCAATGCGCTCGTAGTCGTCGCGCTTCACCATGGTAGTCTTGTAGGCCCAATCATACTGGCTGCCACGAATGTCCATGGCAAGACCGGGGGATCCGAATCTCCTCATTGTCCTTGGAGGTTCCGATGCCAGCTTCGACGACGAGAATTCTGGCGTTGGGATTTTCTGCAAGGCGACAGGCGACGATATTGCCTGCTGTACCACCACCGACGACAATAAAGTCAAAATAGGTACCGTCTTTAACAGTCATGATGGAAAAGAGGCTTTCAGAAATGCGATTATAGATTGAAACTGAACTCAGATGAATCAAAAAGCTCAAGATCCAACGACCTCTTTATAATGATGCTCCTAGCTCACGCTGTGGAGTCCGTAGTCTGGAGCCATCAATGACACGACATCGATCGTATAGCATTTTAGGACCGTGTTTACCTTTGCTATCTAGAGAATTCATAAATCCAATATGATACAGAGTAAGATGACGAGTTTACTATGCTGTTCTGATACCGCGGCTTGATCCAATACGCTACAATTGGTCTAATAGTATGTCTGTTCTAGGTTTCGTATGCAGGCGGGCACTCATGTCAGATATCATGCTCCATTTAGGTCAATGGCTTCCGGAAATGGGTATACTATGGTGGGGAAATATAACGCTTTGTGAGTTCATATTATCATTCTCGGTCCGTTTCGGCCGCAGAGGCGAAAGTGATGATGTATTTGATACCTGGGGCAATTTTGATGGGAAGCTGTCACTTGTGGGGCCCCCGCTCACCATGAAGCCAAATTTGGCAATAGTATCTGGCCAATCATATAATCTCTCGTAATGTCCCTTGAGTTACTGCGCGTTCAAATCATTTTGATTTCTAGGTACAAAATCTCACCGCTACTCTAGCACCTCTCACCACTGCGGGGCCAATATAGTCTCGTATTAAGGAGCTGATCTTCGGAACTTGCGATCAATTTTTGGTGCCTCTCAAGCTGGAATTGGACGAAGAATGTGTTATCACTGGTATTAATTCAAAATTAGAGTTGAGAGATTGGCTGATTTGGTCTAGAGAGCAGTGGTTCTTGAATTCGAGGTAATTAGCCCGATTACAAAATTCACTCATAGAGAATATGGTGTTCTGTCCAAAAACGGTGTGGGTTTCTGTCATTTCCGGATTAGGAATGTCTTTGCCACTCCTCTGCCTCCAAAATGTGCTAACAAACGTATATTAGCGAGTTACATGCCCCAATATCCCAACGGCAGCCTAGATTGATGGTGGGTACGGAAAATTGCGTTTTTGTGCTTGCAAATTTGGAAGTAGTGGTTGGTCGACCCGATATCTTTCACGGAGTTGTAATACTTTTGACTTCCGAATTAGTTAGTACTACTATTTTTGGCAGCTTCTTCTTTCCGGAATTTCATAATTAAACATCGTTGCTGAGTTCTTATACGTCACCTCATGTGGGGTAAAATGTATGATCAGTAGCCCACGGCCCAAGCTCCAATGAGTGTAAGTGTAATACTAAGAATTGAAACAAGCCAGTTTGTACAACAAAGCGGGATAAGTCTTCAGAATGAAGGCTATAAAGAGTCGTGCGCCCTGGAAAGCTCAGGCCAGCAGTTGCACATATTCTCTTTGGTATACTCAAATTGCCTTATCTTCGCTGTCAAAATTGTCACATCATGAGTGACGACAAGTACTATACTTTAGCCGAGGGTATAAGGCCTTCCAGTCCTTTTATTTGCGCTCTAAGGCTGAAAATTACCAGGCTGTCCCTTCGCAAGCAATGCAACAGCTCTTTTGATGCGTGGAAAGCAAGGAAGTGGGCTCGGCTTGCTTCAGGATACTCAGCTTATTGAGACCTTGGCCCATTTCTCTCGCGAGAGAATCCCAGAGAGGTAAATATTCTGACCAACCAATCATTTATTTTGAAGTAGCTGTGGAGCCTTGAAGCTAACGTCTGCAAAGAGTCGTTCACGCCAAAGCTGTCGGGTAGGCCATCAACTTCTGTATGAGGATCATCTTATTGAAAATTTGTAGATCCTACGGAGAATTCGAAGCCACCCGTGACTGTTCCGACTTCACCAGCGCCAGCTTTCTCAACAAGGTCGGAAAGAAGACGCCTATGCTTCAGCGCGTATCAACGGTTGGCCCCGAATCTGGATCTGCTGATACTTCCCGTGATGTGCACGGGTGGGCCATGAAGTTTTACACCGATGAAGGAAACCAGGATTTCGTTTTCAACAATACTGTACGTCCTTTCTTCATTATTTCCTTCTTTCTGTCTTTCTGATACCCATTGAATTAGCCTGTTTTCTTTATTCGCGACCCTATCAAGTTTCCTTCTATGAACCGCTCTCACAAGCGACACCCTCAAACTCATCTTCCCGACGCAAACATGGTAAGTCCTCCCAACTTTTTCCAGTTATGTGGATTACAAAACTGATGGTCTTACAGTTCTGGGAGTATGTGAGCTTCTTAAGCTCTGATTCTTGAATCAGACTGACCATCATATAGTTTCCATGTCGGCAATCCTGAGGGTATCCATCAACTTCTGGTTCTGTTCAGTGACCGTGGCACTCCGAAGTCAGTTCGCTACATGAGCTCGTACAGTGGACACACCTATAAGTTCACTAAGGCAGTATGTGACTATGATTATTATCAGATATTGGACCTTTGGCTAATTTAACACTTAGGATGGCTCTTTTAAATATGCGAAAATCCATATGAAAACGCAGCAAGGAATTGAAAACCTCTCTTCTCAAGAAGCTACCAGAATCGCCGGGGAGGATCCTGATTTTATGATTCGCGATATGTTCGAGGCAATTGAGAGGGGTGACTACCCAACCTGGAACGTTTACGTCCAACTGATGAGCCCTGAAGAAGCGGAGAAATACAAGTGGAACATCTTCGATATGACCAAGGTTTGGCCACATACGGACTTCCCTCTGCAACAGATCGGCCGTGTTACCATGAACCGCAACGTAAGTCTTCATGAGTTTCCAATGATTTCTTGCAGTTATTGAGTTGGAACAGCCACAAAATTACTTCGCCGATATCGAACAAGCGGCATTTTCACCCTCGACAATGGTCCCTGGAATCGCTGCCTCCGCTGATCCAGGTAAGTCAGAAAGCCAGATAATTATTCACAAGATACCTCATAGATTAACTGTCCCTAAGTACTGCAAGCACGACTCTTTGCGTATCCTGATGCAGCTCGCTACCGCCTTGGCGTCAATTACCAGCAACTCCCCACCAACGCCGCGAAAGTGCAAGTCTACTGCCCCTTTCAACGTGATGGGGCCATGAGATTTGACGACAATTACGGTGGCGACCCCAACTATGTTGGCTCCTCAATCAAACCCACCAAGTTCTACCAAGACGAGAAGGGAATCAGCGCCTCTGCACTGGCACTACACACCGAGCACGAAAAGTGGGTGGGAGAGGTCTCCGCTTACACAAGCGAGATCACAGATGATGACTTTGTCCAGCCTGCAGCATTGTGGGAGGTCATTGGTCGCGAGTCTGGTCACCAAGAGAGAGTTATCGAAAACCTTGTGGGCAGTATCAAGGGTGTCAAGTACCCTGGGTTGCGTAAGGCTGTCTACGGTAAGATTTCCCAGTAGCCCTAACCACACGCCTCCGGCGTGGTTGTATACTAAGGAATCAGACTAACTGCGAGACTAGGACTCTTTGGACGTGTCAATAAGGATCTCGGGTCCATTTTGCAGCAGCGTACCGAAGCAGCGATCAAGACTGCGCAGAAGTAGGAAGGGTTATCTAGTCCATCCAACTAGGAAGATATCTACTAGCTACTACTGGTTAGATGTTTGTCAAATGATTTTGCCTGTGGAAGGCGATGCGTTTAGAAGGGTTTATTTGGTTTTAATCGTAGTTCGAGTTACGAATTGTAACTAGAGAACTGGTATTACCCGTCGCCATATGGTCGGATGGCAATTGGGAAGCAATGAATAAGACTGGCCTTTATCTACTCTCACATAGCTCTTGACCGGACCCTACATCCAGAAGAAATATCCTCGGCCCTTCATCGCCACCACCAATCTCATCTTCTTCCGTCTGCATCGTCAGTAACATTTGTGCCATGAATTGGTTGAACGTGTGGCGAGTCCTCGGATTGGACCCACTTTGATGGTTCGGCCTCAGAACGAGTCAAACCCGGTGAAGAATTTCTCAGCCCTTCAAAGATACCCCACCTCGAGCCATATGTATCCCTTAGCGCAAGTTAATTTAGCGCAAGCCATCGGTTGAGCGTGAGCTCCACCACCAGTCCTGGGTCGCGGATCAGTTGTGATTGGGCGGTGTAACATGTGATGAGCATCTTACCCAGGATTCGATATCCTTCAGTAGTTTTTTTTTTGCCCTTACATCCTTCTTCCGGAGTCACTTGGATCCCATACCCAGAATTAAACATGTCTCCGCGGGTCTCCAGCTCCTCAAGCGGAACAGGAAGTGGGCAAGGAACACCCCAGTTCACTTTCGTGACAGAGAACAAGCAGTCGGAAGCGCGGAGCCATGCAATGAGACAACACTGGAAGGGTAGGCATAAGCGCAAACAGGAGTCGAAGACATCGCATCAGAAGATGGCCTTATTGTCGCGAACTCTATTGCCGCAGTTGACGAATGCCCTAGACGAGGAGAGCTCGCCGGGGTTGCAATGGGACAGCGATAACGATAGGGATGCAAGTAGTGGGACGGGTGAGAAGGTGGCGGAGAAGAAACTTGAACCTCAAAATCCTGGCATCCCAGCCCAGCTGTTCTGTGGCATGAGCTACGCTCTTTCGAGCTCAAGGCCTGACCCGTTCCAAACGTGTCCTGTGCATTTGACAAGCAAGCACCAGAAACTTTTATATCATTGTGCGTATTTAGCGTTGAGTTACGCTGACAATCTGGGCTGCTTGCCTGTGGCAAAGCATATGTGCTTACTTTATACAGGGATAAGCACGCATGCGGCTATGATGTTTGAAGACTTAGAAGTTACCGAGTTTAATCCAATGAGAGATGTTTGGTTCCCACTGGACCTTTCAAATGCTTCGTCTTTCAACTGCATTATGGCGCATTCAGCTGCCCACTTGGCTCATTTATACGGTGGAACTCTTCCCGACGAGGAACAACTTCTTCTGATGCCCTGAATTACAAGATTGAAGCTGTTAGGATACTGCGGCTCTGGCTTAGTGATCCGGCGACGGAATTGTGTGATGACGCCTTTGCAGCTGTTGTTCGTTTGCTCACGTTTGAGGTATGGTTTTCTAGTTCGAGTTTGCAGTTGGAAATCGACTAACCGGCTTTGACGTAGCGGTATTGGGGTACCGTGAAAGACTGGAAAGTTCATCGTGATGGCTTACAAAGGATGATCAATGCTAAAGGTGGAGTTGAGGCGTTGCATGAAAACTGGCGCTTAGAACTTGTGGTTTACCTGTGAGTGCAGATTCAAACAGAATAGAGATTGCCATACTGACGATGTAGGGTGTCATTAATGTCGCGGCCGTCATGGCTCGAGTCTACAAATAGTCTCGATCGTATCTCTCACCCGCTTTTATCAACCCCCGTTATGCAGCGCGCAAATTGTCTCGACGTTCAAAAAATCCGCTGCCTTTGGCTGATATCATTCATTCAGGACATGAGGACGTTCATGGGATCGTTTTACTCCACAGGGCTTTCTGGATACCCTATTGCTCATGCGGCAGTCGAGCTTTTGCGTCAAAATTTTCAAAACTCCGCTATGGCATCTTCCTCTAGCCAGAATATTATGGAATGGGAAGAAGAATTGCTCAGTTGTCTTTTCTCTCTCAGCGTGCTGATACAGGACTCGATATCCGTCCTGTCTGATGGTGCGTCAACAACAGCCAATGGACCAAGCACCCTGGATGGACTAGAGATCTACCTACGGTCTTCACAAGACATGTGGATGAATTCAGTCTACAACTTGCGCATTGTCTTGTTTGAAAGCCTTGCAGGACTTTTTGAGGATGGAGCGTCCAAAATGAATTACGTTACGGACCTGGTGCAAGTTCTAGGCACATTGAGTTTGGAAGCACGCCAGGGCGTCGAAAAATGTCTTCTCAATCTGCTTAACAGTCTTGGGGACAATAAAAAGTTAGTGGTAGATGATTGTTGGACGCCGGATTCGCTTTTGTCGTCCATGCACGGGCATTAGTGTGGCACATGTGGCTGTCATGTCATTTTAGGTTTTCTAATTGTCTCATTTCATTATTCAACCAGGGGATAAGTCAACGGATCGGACAGACCTCTCATAATAATAGAAGCCTCGAGTAACATGTTTGTATTTACTTGCTTATTATTTAGATTTAGATTGCATTTAATAACCATAAAGCAAGGAGGAAATGCCGCCCCGAGGTACCATCCAGTATGTAAGATCACATCAAACCTCCGTAGGTCTGGCCCTCTTGCTCGAGCTGCTCATCTTCTTTAATGTATTCCTTAAAGCGGGTTTCATCCTTCTTCAAAATGGAACGAATGCCACCCTCGCTGTCCTCCTGTCCATTTTTCGACTCCTGGTCATCGTGTCCATTTTTGTGGTGATGGTGGTCGAAATGTCTTTCGAAGAAGCCTTCCTTGTGCTCGGTGTTCTGTTGGGTGGGTTGCTGGGTGTCTAATTTCATTGAAACATGGGGTTATGAATGTAATTCGGAGGAGAGTGTAGACATCAACCTATGGTGATCCGTACCTTGAGGCATTTTGCTAGGCGAACTCGAAGACAGATTGCTGTACGATGTGGTTTATTACTAGGTCCGGGATAGAAAGAGATATTGCCGGAGGTATGAGAATGGTGGAACAGTCCTTCATCTCCATGCTATACTTATACCTTAATGATATTATAGTACAAGAATAATTGGGGGTTTAAGGTTAGCTTATGATGTACGAGATACGATCAGCCTTCTTGATCCGGTAATAGTATTTGGCCAATCAGGACTAATGATGTATGGTGCCCCGCCCGTCCGTGGAACTCTGGACCCACTCAAGCGGCTTGTACATACTAGTTCGCTGCGACGCTGGCAAGCTTCGAAGCAAAACAACCCTAGGTGCACTAGGTATGATTGGACGACCAAGTTTGAATATTTACACCTAAGGGGTCCGTCAACCATGAGCCGTGCGAGAAGCATTCTATACAGCTCCAGGTGATTTCTGTTCTGATTCTCCGTTCATACCACTAACGCCTTTCTCGTCTTTGTATCTGTCTACAAACACCATCAAGACTCTGCACCACCTGAAAACCCAGAGCTACCGATACAACTGATCCTTACCGTTATCCCAAAACATCGATGCGAGCAATGGCTAGCATGAAAACCGCAAAATTCCAGCCCGTGGCAGCCCCCCCTCACGCGACACGCAACGTTTCTTGTCTTGACCATCACATCTCCATCCGCAATCCCAACTATCCGCTCAACTCTCGCCGGCATCTCTAGTCATGCCAAAAATATCTGCTCCCGCGATACCGACGCCAAATTCACCTGTATCGTCGGGATTGGCGCTTCCGTCTGGGACTCCATAACCGGCAACCTTCCACGTCCTAATGAACTACACCCCTTCCGCGAAATCAAAGGCGTCAAACACACCGCCATCTCAACACCGGGAGATCTCCTCTTCCATATTCGCTCTGAACGTCGAGACCTCTGCTTCGAGTTCGAACGCCAGCTAATGGATAGCTTCGGTGATACAGTGCATCTCGAGGATGAGACCGTTGGATTCCGCTACTTCGACGCGCGCGATCTTCTCGGCTTCGTCGATGGTACGGCAAACCCCGTCGGTCCTGATGTGCTACCTTCCGTCCTCGTTACTGCTGAAGACGATAATGCACACGCACAAGGAGGCAGTTATATAGTTGTCCAGAAATACGTGCATGACCTACATACGTGGAAAAAGTTGCGATCTGAGCAACAAGAGCAGATTATCGGGCGCACAAAGCCCGATAACATAGAACTTGACGACGCCGAAGACGGGAAGCAGGCGTCACACAAGACACTTAATACAATTGAAGATGAGGAAGGCAACGAGTACGATATCTTACGTGATAACATGCCATTTGGATCGCCGGCCTCCGGTGAGTTCGGGACTTACTTCATTGGGTACACGCGGAGGCTGTGGGTCATTGAGAAGATGCTTGAGCGGATGTATGTAGGACATCCGCCTGGGATGCATGATCGGTTGCTGGATTTTTCAAGGCCCTTGACTGGCTGTGTCTTCTTTGCGCCTTCGACGGATGTCTTGGATCAGCTTGGGTAATAGCAATTCTATATAATTTATAGATATAACGTTTCTTTCGAAGAAGGAAAGCTAGATAATGCCGGTGAGTGGGTTCAGCTAATTAACCTATGAACCACGCCTGCTTTCAATACGTCATTCTTGATTGAATTACATACTCTGTATATATAACTCCATATAAATTAGTATTGAAAAGAAGTCGAAAGAGAAGTGTTGGTGTCATAGATCGTTTAATTATATTGGTAGAATATTGACGACCATCTATGCGCTCTAGCCTCGACTTAAACGCCAGGAGTACCAGCGACTAAGTCGAGGCTGCACCAAGCCAGTGGGTGGGTGAGTTCCTCCACATTCACCACAGGGATAAGAGAGTTCACCATGGACTTCTCTCTCATGAGTTGCAAGAGATGATGCTCGGGTAAATCCGCTTCCATATCCAGAGTATATGCAGGGGAAAGGTTTTTCGAGTTCCGGATTGACAGATTCGATAAGTTGTTTAACAGATTGTGCTGTGTGAAATGTGACAGGACACTCAGGGCAATTGGAACCCATTCCAGTGGGCAGCGTTGATATGCTTTTCGAGACAATCCTTCCTTTCGAATTTCGTTCCACGTTTTGGATCTGGACAAAGGACGGGCTCAAGTACCGATATATTTTTGGAATTTATTCCAAATTTGTCGCACACATGTTTCGTTTCGTACTTGTTCATCATGTCGATGGACGTAAAGACGGCGAGCAACCAGAGCCCCTGAGTGGTATGAATGAGGGGGGAGGGGGTTTTGAAGTCCGCTGGGGAAGACGCGAAGACAAGCTCTTCTCAAGGAGTATGTTTGTATGAGAGTATTTGCGGAACTGCTTTTGTGATGGTGTGTGATGGTGTATGTTCAAAACTGGCGTGGATAACTGCAGGCTTGCTCTCTTCGCCACACTTTGTCAGCTGTGCAAGAGGATGCTTGGATTTGGACAAGTGAGAGAAACTTCGAAGGAAAGAGAATTCAGGAGATGCGGAATGAGGCTTGTTTACATTTTTATGGCGGAAGGAAGGAAGGAAGGAAGGAAGGAAGGAAGGAAGGAAGGAAGGAAGGGAAGTTCATATAAAGGTGGGAAGGAACTACCCGTGCCTATGGCAATCTATAGAAGTCACCGGGCCGATGCCTACCAAGTGCTATTTCTAGTGTTAGACTGGCAGAGTCCTAAAGGGAAATATCTAAACAGTTCTGCTGGGAAGACAAAGGAACCTCTGAAGAAAAAGAAATACAAACGGATGTCTCCGGTGATATGCAAAATTCATTATTAACATTAAGCCTTAGGCCCACTATGTACATTGCCAGTGGTCTATATACTCATCCACGAAATCTATATGCAAGCTATCTCCAATGACCGGCTCCCGTTTTTACACACGAGCAATGCCTGTACCAACCTTGACGATTCTCGCCGCGATCAAAGTCAATGTACCCGCGATGATTGCGCTGCCCATAAACATTTGCGCGTACAGATAGCCTCCATTGTCAAGCTGCACCAAAGCACCAGCAATAGGCGAACCGATCAAAGCAGCAACCGCAACAACACTGAGAACCATTCCCATCCGCACACCCGTCTTCTTCATATCCGTCGTGAGAGTGCTCAATGTAGCAGGGAAGAGCGACTGGATGCCCGCAGCAGACAGACCATAAAAGACCGCGAAGGCCCACAACCCCGACATATCCTTCACAGCAGCCCAGCAATAAGCCACCAAAGCCGTCGCACCACTGAAAGGAATCAATAAATTCAACGGGCCCGTAAACTGATCCGCCAAAAAATTAGGCACGAGTCGACCCACGATTCCAACTCCGTTCATAACCATCAAAAGGTCAATAGAAGTCGTCTGGTCCACGCCAATAATATTCCGACTGAAACTGCCAACATAGAAGAAAGCAATATACAGACCCCAGAAATTAAGGAACATGCCAAGAGCAAAGAGTAGATAAGAAGGTTCCTTAAAAGCAGCCCACTCAACAATAGGTCCACTCTTCCGCGGCGGCAAACGCTGCTTAAAAAATAGCACGCAGGGGATCAACGTAACGACTGAAATCAGTCCAAGTACACGCATCGTCCACCCGTATCCAATCTGCGGCAACAATTTCATGACAACAGCAGGAAATACCAAACCACCCGTCGCCGAGCCCGAAGCAGCCAGACCAAGCGCAATTCCACGCCGACGAACAAAATACGTCGAGATCAGAGCAAGCGTTGGACAAAACATAAGTCCACACCCAATTCCCTGACCCAATCCCTGCGCCAGGAAAAGTTGCCAGTACTCCGTACAAAGCGAAGTCATGAAGATGCAGAAACATTCCAGCGTTGCGCCGATTGTTAACGTGAAGCGGAAGTATCCCGCATCCGTGGCGCGGCCGGAGAATGTCCCGATGAAGAAAAGTAGGAAGATCTGAATACTACCCACCCAGGAGATATCTGAGGGAGATCGGCCCAGCGTCGAGGTGTAGTATGTTTGGAAAACGCCAAAACTGTTGATATACCCCCACGTATTGAAGATAATCATATGGCCCAGTGCTACCTGTAGCCATGCTTGTAAGCCTCCATCCGGTGGAGGACCGATGTCTTTGCCTGACTCGCGCGTTCGGACGACGGAGAGAGTGCGTGCGACGGTGCTGTTGTTTGTTGGTACTTGGGCGAGCTCATTTGGGGAGTCTTCGTTTATTGTTGAGTCGTCGTCGTCGGAAGAGGAGTGGTGTGAATTGGCTTCGAGAGCACCGGGGTCATCATGTTTCTCTGAGAGTTGGAAGTTTGTTTCCTCGACTACACTAGACCTCTTTTCTTCGACTTGGTGGGGTGTTGAATCGGCCATTGCCAGTGATATTTTCAACTGGGATTGAGGATTTGCAATTCAAAGAAATAATTGAGTGGGGGGAGTGAAATGCCGAGTCGATGCAAGTTATCATGTCTTTCTGTACCAGTGCCAGCACAAGTAACGGAAAGACCAAAAGATGAGAAGAAGAAGAAGCAGACAGTGGAGATAAATCAATGTCTCCAAACCCGACTGAAATAAAAATGCCCGACTCCAACTGACTCATGAGCACCGGTGACCCAATTTTTTTCTTCCTTGACCAAAAAGAAACCCGCTTGCCCATCCAAAGTTGAACGGCCTTTGCGCCGATCCTTTTGCGGCAACCGGTAATTCGCACAGATTGCCGAGTACAACACGCCCTTCCGAAGCCACATCCGAAAACGGGTTCCACCTGCAAATTCACACAAATGACTGCAAGTAAGGCTGTGGTGGATGGGGGACAATCGCATTATCATTATCATTATCGGTAGATATCGAACTTGCTCTCCACTTTATACTTAGGTCTGTCACGCCATCCCCACGGGGGATGACTACGTACGTGACCCTGTCAGTCCCCCGCAAAAGAGATGCCCCCCTCCCTCCAATTCGGTTCACGCTCACATGTCTCGGAGTCTGCGGGATAAATCCATATTCATTGCTATCTAATGTCTTTACAGTTCAAGGCTTATGCATCTATGCCAGGGATTATAACAAAACGAGACAAGAAGCCAGAGAAAAAAAAATCCACGGGACAAAAACGTCCAATATGCGCCGGCAACACCCCCGGAAAAGTAAAGTAAAGCAGAGGAGAGCAACCGAAGTTTTAAAAAAAGGAGCAAGCGAGAGAGGAAGCAAAACAACAACAAAAAAACACCGTCCACCGGGCCCCATAGGTTCGTTTCGTATACTACGTGCATGAGATCATGTGGGGGATTGGCGTGGCTTCGATCGCAAAGTTCGCCAAGTCATCCAAGCACGCCCAGCCCGGCATCCCGGGAGCGAGGGAACCCCATGTCAATAATTGGGTGCAATTAAGATCGGATCGGCCCGAATGGTTCTATGTCTCAGTGATCTTGGTTCGGACTGCTGTTAAGCAGCTGGATCGTACCGATGACGTCTGCTGGTTCGAGTAGATGCCAGCTAGCGTCCGTTTGCTTCGAGCTGGCGCCCACTGTGACCGAGTAAACATGGTCTTGGGGCAAACCGGATTTCTTGAGAGCGCGGAACATGTCTGTATACGAGCTATTGTTAGCCAACCCTGTCTTGTACAAATACAACAAGGATATTCTGTCCATCCATTCACATACCTTCGTCCGTAAAGTCATCGCCCAGACACAAGACAAATTCGGGTGCCTTCCCGGGTTCCGGCCCATATTCATTCACCAGACGCGTAGCGATAAAACCTTTGTTGACGAATGTTGGTCGTACTTCCAGGTTGGCCTTGCCCGCCATAACTTCCACGTCCCATCTTTTGGCGACGGTATCCTCAAGGGCCTTGCGGCACTCTCGGGCCTGGAAGGCTCCGTACTCCGGGTCGGCCCGACGGTAGTGCCATGTCAATGCCACTCGCTTGCGCTCGATGAACGCGCCTTGCGTTCGCTCGGTATAGTGCTGGAAAACATCTACCACTTCCTTCTGCCAGCCCATATTGGTCTGCTCCGCCAGATTCTCCCAATCGTCTGAGCGAGGCTGTCGGATGAAACAGCCGTGCTCAGCACTAAGACCAAGCTCGGGGATGTGGCCCATCCATTCATCCAAGAAAGCCTGGTCTCTGCCGCTGATTATCCATACAGCATTTCGGGGATCTGCCGAGAGACTCTTGAGGGTGCGTAATACTCGATCGGACGGAATAGCCGCCTGTGGGTCCTTCACAATCGGAGTCAGAGTACCATCATAGTCGAACATAAATAGACGTCTGCGGGCTTTGCGGTACTGTTTGACGACCTTGGCCCGATCAAGCGCGGGTGTGGCGACGGATTGGTCGAAGGAAGATAGATTGGTAAGTAAGCGATTCAGGAACTGTCGTGACCAGGTGGCAACTGTATTGGTGATAACATGTTTATATAGTTTCAAATGTTGTTCCTTACGTTGCTCGGCAGGCATATGGAGAGCCTTATCGATAGCACCAGCGACACCTACCAAATCCCACGGGTTAATGTGGATGGCGCTAGGCAAGGTGCCCGCGGTACCAGAGAATTCGGAGAGGATCAGTGGACTGTGATTTGTCTGCTGGCAAACGATATACTCCAGACTTGTTGTGTTCATGCCGTCTCGCACTGTGGTAATGAGACCGACATCGGCGACACGTAGGAGAGCAAAATATTCAGACTGTGACAGGTACTGCGGGTAGTATTGAACAGGCGAGAAGCTCAATGAGCCGAACCGGCCATTGATCGTGGAAACCAGATTCGAGATCTGGCCAGCAATGGTGTTCTCCGGGTCTTCCTTTTCTTCCTCCACGCTAGTTGGACTTGTCACCTGGATGAGGACAACTTTGTCACGCCATTCGGGATACCGCTCCAGGAACACTTCGAATGCTTGTAGTTTCTGTGCCACGCCTCGAACGCTATCCAGTCGATCACGGCCAACAATGATTTTCTTGCCCGCATATAGCTTGCGAATACCTGCGACTGCCGTTTCAATATCCGACGCCCCGAACGCAGCCTTTTGAATAGCTCGGGCATCGATTCCGATAGGGAAGACATCTACGGCAACGTGGGCGCCGTATGCGTCCACCCCGGCCGAATTAGATTCGAAGCCTAACACCCGCGTGCAACATGAAGAGAAATGTCGAGAGTATGAAAATGTCTGGAATCCAATCATGTTGGCGCCAAGAACTCCAGTCAAGACTTCCTTGCGCTTGGCAAGACAGCGCACGAATTCACTGCTGGGGAAAGGCGAATGCAAGAAAAATCCAATGTAGACGTTGGGAATGCGTTGGCGCAGTAGGCTCGGAAGAAGAAACAGGTGGTAGTCATGGATCCATACGACATCGCCTTCTTGGTATTCCGCCGCAATACGATCTGCGAACAGCTGGTTCAAGCGGGTGTAATCAGCCCACCAACGCCGCTCCGAGCGTCCGTCTGTGGGTCCATGTTGCTTGTAGTGCAGCAGGGGATATAGCTCCCTCTCGGCATATCGCCGCCATCGACCTTGGTCTTTGAGCAAAATGGTGTCTTGGGGCTCCTCTTGGGCGTCTGACAGCCAGACAGGTACGACTTTGCCATATCGTCCCGTTTCTAATTGACGGCCAAGTGCTGCTCTTTCTTCGCGACCAACACAGATTCCATCAACGAGTGGGTTTGAGGGTGGTTGCTGACTCGCATTGACTGGAACAGGCGCGGCCGCTTTGTTGAGGGGTATATTCGCGTTGTTGGAGCCCGGGGGCAGATTGTTTGCCACGTTGGAGGGTATTTGTTGGAGAGGGGCCTTGCTTTCCAAGATCGGTTCAACTTCTCCAGTCCATCCCACAAGGGTATGTGACCAATGGGTATCATCGGATGCCAGATGAGCAAACGAGTCGAATAAGGCCGAAGTGCCAGACCGGGGTTTCACGATCTGTTACCCCACACAATGAGTCAGTAATTGGCCTCGATTTACAGTGAAGGAATAGTCCAATACATACCCAGTCTGAGCCTGCTTTGAAGTAAAGTTTGTAGGGTATACAGAAGGCGGCACTGATCACTCGCCCACTCAGGCGTAGTCCCGGATGTTCTTCACGCGGGTCGATCCCGGGCGACATTGGTGAAGCCGGTCCTGTCAAGCTTAAACGACGAAGCAGATCCTCCCCGGCGGATGTTTTTCTCCGGGGTTGAGACCCCGAGGAGGGCAAATCTGTTGGCTCCATTGACTCAGTCTTAGCCCCTGGGATGTTCGCAAAGTATGAAGGCGCATCGCTATCGACCGGATGTGTTTTGTCCATATCCAAGCTCGGTGTTGCGTTGGTGGCTTTGGAATATGCTTCGTGATGCAAAGCCTGCATTCCTGGCCCGACAAGCACTGGGTTTGGCTGCTCATCAGGCACATGCGTGGGGCTCGATGATTCAGACATGGCGTGTAGAGTTCGATGTGTTGTAACGGGCAGTTTTTCCCGCGATTGAACTGTACTGTGTGTCAGCACAGGTGCAATTGTCACATGCAGGACCTCCTCCAACACCAAGAAACTTGACGTTGACAGATATGAGCACTGTAAAGGGAGTCACGTACCTCGGGGCAGGGCGGAGAGGTCGAGGGGTAGATCGACACAAGTTTATCGGGGACTAGGGGCGCGCGAGAGCCATGGATGATCGAGAAGACAGCACCAATAGGGTTCAAGGGAAATAAGAAAATAAACGCAAGATGTTCTTTGGGAAGAGGAGTCAGTTGAGGAAGAGGAGGCGTTCGCCGTCGGTGGAGGGGCAAGCGGTGTGTGAGATGCACTGGGGACCGCCGTCCAAAACAGGAACTGACGCTATAGGAATGACGTTGATAGTACGAGGAAGTTGCGATATCAACCACCTTCAAAATAAGGCCTTGGGAAGGTTGGTGTCAAGGGGTTCTCAAGAGGTAATCCAAACCACCAGCACATCTCTGGGTCAAAGTCAAAGTTCTGCACCGATATCGCATTCGTGTTAGTTGGCTGTACCCTAAGGTAATCATCCCGCATTGGGATCGTCCAGGATTGTCTGCCTCAGGCCAAAAGGTCGTGTGGCCTCCGCCCGCGTTCTGCAATTGGTAGAGGTTGAACCTCTTATCTTCACCTCAGCCTCGACATGCTTCCGAGCTAACCACGCTGCTATGCGGCTGTCCGCCCTTCGATCTTCGCGCATTGCCCTCCAAACTCCTCGGCAGCTCCGTGCCAGTGTCTCATCCCCCCAAGATTCCGATGTCTTCGCCAATAACCTTCGGAAAACATTAGACGCCCATCGGACCTCGAATCGAAATCGTCTCATCCGCAAAGTATACCCTCGTTCACCTGCTGCGGGACTTTGGCGGCCAGAAATTCCTCTCGAGAGCCGACCAGAAGGCTCGCCAGCCACACC